CTGTCTGACTACCTGCGTACCGCTCGTCCTCTTGTTCCTCGCGTCCTTGCCTCTCTCGTTACCGACCCGTCTGTTCCGGTTTCGAGCCTTGACGCCCTTGTCGATGCGGTCGCTGACTTCGCCTCTACCCGCCGCCTTGACTACGCCACCGCTCTGGTCTCTGACCCTGCCGGTCCTCCGTCTGTCGGGGGTGCTCTTGCCCTTGGCAGTGACGTCCTGGAGGACCGCCAGTTCGAGCTTGCTTTCCTGTCCGAGGCTGCTCCCCATCTCTGTTCCATGCTGCTAGTCCCTGAGGGTGACCCAGACGCTTTTGACATCCCGACCCCTCGCACCTACGCTGAGGCGACCTCGGGACCCTGGGCCTCTCAGTGGATAGCTGCCATGGAGCAGGAGATGGCATCTTGGAGATCCACCGGCACCTACGTCGACGCAATTCCCCCACCTGGGGTGAACGTAGTTGATGGCCGCTGGCTCTTCAAGGTGAAGCGCCCTCCTGGAGAGCCGCCTACGTTCAAGGCGCGCTACGTGGCTAGAGGTTTCAGTCAGCGTGAGGGGGTGGACTTCTTTCAAACCTTCGTCCCGACCCCGAAGATGACTACTCTTCGGGTGTTGTTACACGTAGCTGCTCAGCGTGACTACGAGCTTCACTCTCTCGACTTCTCTACTGCGTTTCTTCAGGGCAGTCTACACGAGCAGGTCTACCTGCGTCGCCCTCAGGGTTTCACCGGCACCTTCCCTCCTGGGACCCAGTGGCTCCTGGGCGTCCCGTCTATGGCCTGCGGTAGGCTCCCCGTGAGTGGCATGACACGTTGCGTGCTACCCTTGCTGACCTGCAGTTCTTCCCGTCCTCTGCAGACCCCTCGCTCTTCGTTCGTGCTTGCCAGACCCCGTTCTACATCCTTGTTTACGTAGACGACCTGGTCTTCGCCACAGCAGACAGGGACGCACTAGCCTCCATGAAGGAAGAGCTGCTGAAGAGACACACTTGCACTTACCTTGAAGAACTGCGCCACTACCTTGGCTTGCAGATCTCCAGGGACAGAGCAGCGCGCACCATCACTTTGACTCAGTCACACTTGGTGCGCCAGGTCCTTCAGAGGTTCGGCCTTCAGTTCTCCTCCGCACAGCCTACTCCTCTGCCTCTAGACCACAGGCTCTCCGCTCCAGTTCCTGAGGAGTCAGTAGAGCCCAGTGGTCCTTACGCAGAGCTGGTGGGTTGCCTCATGTACCTGATGACTTGCACTCGCCCAGATCTCGCTTACCCTCTCAGCATTCTGGCTCGCTTTGTGGCCACATGCAGACACCGACCTCAGCACTGGTCTGCCGCTAAGAGGGTTTTGTGTTCTCTTGCAAGTACATCGGGCATGGGGTGAGTGCTAGGAGGACGCAGGCCAGTGGTCCTTACTGGATACACAGACTCTTCTTGGGCAGACGACGTCGAGACCCTCAGGTCCTCGCAGGGCTACTGCTTCAGCCTTGGTTCAGGTGCCGTCTCGTGGAGAGCTACCCGCTCCTCGTCTGTTGCCCAGTCCAGCTGTGAGGCCGAGATCTACACTGGTGCCATGGCAGCAGAGGAGCTCTGCTGGCTGACCTTCTTGCTCACCGACTTAGGTGAGCGGCCTAGCTCTGCCCCGGTCCTGTACGCTGACAATAGGGCCATGATCCTCCTGTGCCAGGAGCCTCGACTCAAGGGCAGAGCGAAGCACATCCAGCTGCGGTACTTCCTCCTGCGTGAGCTCCAGCAGCGCCGCCAGGCTCGCGTAGTACACTTGGCCTCTGGTGCCATACAGCTGATATCTTTACGAAGGCACTTGCGCCTAAAGATCATCAGCGGCACTGTGTACAGCTAGGTCTCGTTCCTGTAGCCTCTCACTTGCTAGGGTCTTGACTTTGTACTGTCCTTTATATATATATTTTACCCTGACTGGCCTTGTGGCCTCTCCCAGTGGCTGGACTAGTCGTGCTGCCCTGGTCTTGCTCTTGTCTTGTCTGTACTCCTTTGACTGGTCTTTAGACCCTTGTCTCAGAGGCTGGACTAGTAGTGCCGCCCTGAGCTGCTTCTTTCCCTGTTAGGCACTGCCTCTATATAGTCTAGGGGGTGTGTCAAGTGTAACTTAGGTCGTTACTATAGACTATACTGGATTGTGCCTTAGAGGGTACAACACCCTAGTCTATATACCCTTGTACTCACACATTCTATTTCAATTATTCTTTCTGATACCCTGCATCTCTTTGCTAATAATCAACATCGTTAAAACCACTGGCTAAAATAGCAAAGGGGGGGCTTCAAGAGCGCCGTTCTTGAAGATGGCTCTTTTGAAAAAAAACGGGTTCCCAGCACTATTTTGCGAGGTGCGTTTTTGGGCAGCTGAACAATGATAGAAACGTAGTGGCGCCGATTTGACGCGTGTGCGACGAGGCGGGAAACGCGCGCGCGACTCATTTGACTTTTTGCCAACTTGGTGAAAGGAAAAAAAAAAAAAAAAAAAAAAAAAAAAAACCTACTGTACCTCGGAAGTATTCGGCGTACGTTTTAAGGCTTCACATTACGAAGCTCCCTCGACCGCGACTCGCGACTAGGGTGGAGGTGAACTGTGCAACTTGTGTGCCGAACACCCACATGGGTTGTGCAAAATGCGACCCAGGTAAACCTCGGGTTAAAAACCTATTGCACACCCATGGAGCTCTTGAAAAAACTGAGCCGTGTGAGCGGTCAGTCGCAACTTGATCCGCCGAGCAACTGGCGCCAAATCAATCGTCGCGCACCAATAACGTTGCAAAGGTACTTCGCATTACAAACAATTTCGGGTCCCATACCATTTCAAAAATAGAAAACGCACCAAAGGGTCTGCCCCAAAACGAAACATTTTTTTCAAGAGCTCCGCTGGTGTGCTTTTCTAGCCTGTGGTTTTAAGTTACATTTAATCTTACAGGGTTATCGACCAATCAATCGCTTCTGCGAAGTGCACCACTGCAGTTCAATCCTGAAGATCCTACGGACTATATTGGTTTGCTTCAGTACTTTTACACATGGTACCCCTCTAAAACTATTATGTGAAGAATATTAGAGGAGATTTTGAGGATGTTTTTTTACTGCCAACGTTCATTTGTTCTTCTATAAACCATGTTAGTATTAATCATGATTTTTTCGTGAGACCTGTATTTTGAACCAATAAAAAGTTGATTTTCATAGAGTTCTAGTATTGAATGAGATGCAAATAGTTTTGTTCTAGTATTGATTTTCACATTTGTTCCTCCTTCCTCTCACCTCCCCTTCCTCTCTCGCGACACGCCACCTCACCTCCCCTTCCTAGCTCCTCCCCAGCCTTTTTTTCACGCACCCCAGTTATGGCGTCTTGAAAGCTTGTTGATTCAACCGCCGACTGTCTTCAAGCATCCTTGTGCACTTGTACGGCTACTAGCTGCCTGCTGGGGTATAGCTGAACCAATCGTTACTCTTAACGTTCTCTCTATAGGCTCGTCAGTGTTCGTAGGATTTTAATATAGCAGCGGTTCCTCCACCGCAGAATCTTTTTCAAGAATCAAAGAATGAGCGGCGTCTTCTCACCTCAGCCAGCTGGCCACAATTCGCGGATATCCATCGAGGTCGTATCAGCGCGGGAACTCCACAACCCGCGGAAGCTCCCCTTCGGGCGCATGAGCCCGTGCGCGCTCGTCTCCCTCCCCGCGATTCCCTCGTGCTGGAAGGCCCTCCCGCCTGCCGTCACCGGCGGGCGAAACCCTTTTTGGGGCTGCGGCCCGCAAACCACGGCGGAGTTTCTTGTGGACAATTCGGTGCTCGGGCTCGAGTCGTCTCTGCAGCAGCCCTGCGCCTCGTCCTTCCCCGCCGGGGCTTCCTTTCCCGCGTCTCCCGCTTCCTCTTCTTCCGCCGATCTCACCTTTAGCGCATCTGCTTTTCCTTCCCCCGCCTCTGCCGCCTCTTTCCCGCCCGCGGGGCTTTCTCCCCGCGCGCGCACGCATGTACGCGTGGAGCTCTTCAGCTCCGCCGCCCTGCGCAAGTCGCTCGGTGCAGCGACTGTGGCGCTGGACGGCGCGCTCCTCAGACCGGGGGAGTGGCTGCGCGCGGAGCTGCCTGTGATGCGCCTCCGGCGCAAGGGGGGAGGCGAGCGCGTGAAGCAGGGCGGATGGGTGACGGTGCGGGTGCGAGTTGGGGGAAGCGGGGATGCGGGGAGGGCGGAGGTCGAGAGGGCGGACGGGGGAGCATCATGGTGGCAGACGCCGCTTGCGCCCATCCCGTCGTTTTACACCCGCACAGGGACGGGGGACGGTGCTGCTGACGTGGTTGGTGCTTGTAGAGTGGCTGCTGCAGGTGCAGCAGCAGCAGGAGCAGGAGCAGAAGCAGCAAGCAAGGTGCAAAACTGGCAGTCACAAATGCCTTCGTCCTACAGCTCTCACACCGATGCAGGGCGTCCAGCAGCAGCAGCAGCAGCACCAGCAGCACCAGTGCCGCCGCCACCTGTCACTGGCTACCCTGCACCACCTCCTTATAGTCACATCAGCCCAGCAGCCAGCAGCATGCCACCGTACCCTCCCCAGTACCCCCCACCCATACCTGGACCATATGCCCAGTCGGGTGGCAGCGCTCAACCGTATGCAGCCTATGCAAGGCCGACCCATCCCTCTGGGCCGTGGTACCCCTCGTTACAAGCACCCCCAGTAACGGCTTATAAGCACAGCAAGCATGGGCAGAGGAGGTGGGCGCCTGGAGGGGCGGGGCTGGGAGCAGGCCTGGCGCTGGGGGCACTGGGAGGGCTGCTGGTGGGGGACGCCATTGGAGATGGGTTGGGGGATGCTGGAGGGTTTGATTTTGGAGGGTTGGGGGACTTTGGTGGCTTCTGATAGAATGTACAGTTAGGGTGTCTCTGTTAGGGTCTCTATTCTTGTGTACCACTAGGGGATGCACCCCGCGAGCACTTCTTGTCGTGTAACCATTTTGTACATCCAGTAGATGTAGTACCAGCATGAGTTGATACATTGATGCACGTCACTATTGGGGCGATTGGCTTCAATTACACCTAAAAACAAAGACAGCCAACGAGCTTCAGCAAACCTTGCCACTGATAGTCATGTATGGAAAAGCTGGCGTACGGTGCGCGCACAAGACCCCCTTCCTACCGCTGACCCCCCCACCTTGTGCACCATCGCCTCCTCTTGCCCCTTCTGCCCCTCCCTTCCCGCCCGTGCATCCCCCCTTCCTCCCCCCTCCCGTCGAAACAGGCGTCTTTGGAAGCAGATGCAGAGCTCTGGCTCAAAGCTCTCCCTTCGAACGAGCCGCACCTGTGGCAGCAGCAGCAGCAGCAGTGTCAAGAGTCACAGCTGAAGCTGCTGCGACGACCAGTGGCATTGAAAGCCACGACCCGCCCAGCAGCAGCAGCTCCTCTCCCCCCACCCATCCCCACTGTCGTCACACCATCACTCTCCTCTCCCCCTTTCCGCCCCTCCCGTCCTGCCCTTGGCAGCCTTCTTCCTCCCACCTCCCTTGGCAACGGGCGTTTCTGGCAGCAGGTGCAGCTTCTGCCTGCGCCGCCGCCTCGGCTTGTCCTCTTCCTCCTCATCCTCCGCCTCCCCCGGCTCCTCCTCCGCTCCCCCCACTCGCTCCTCTCCCTCCTCCTCCGCCTCTTCCTCGTCCTGCTCGCAGTACCGCCTCCTGGCTGCCTTGCCCGCCCTTCTGCGCCCAGCAGCAGCAGTTGAGGGGCCCGCGTCGTCACTGTCATCAGTGGCAGTCGCAGACGGAGTGGCAGAGGGGGTGGCAGACGGAGTGGCAGAGGGAGCAGAAGGTGCAGCAAGGGGGAAGGAGGAGAGGGCGGCACCGCCCCCACCACTGGCATCCTCGAAGCTACCGCTGCGAGCTGGTGATGCTGGTCGTGATGACATCGGTGATTGCGATGGTGATGCCGATGGTGATGGCGATGTGTGTGCTGGTGGGGATGGGGAGGGTGAGTGAGAGCGCAGAGTGCCTTCTTTGCGCGAATGGGAATCAACGACGACCACCTCTTCCTCCGCCTCAGTGGATCTACCCAGAGCTTTCTGCCTTCCCTTCTTCTCTAGTTTCTGCGTGTGGCGCTGTGCCTGTGGACCTGGCATTCCCCCTTGCGCTCCTCGCACTGCCACAGGCTCCGTTGCGGTTCGCCTTCGCTTTCGCGGCACCACCAGCACCACCCTCTCCTCCTCCGCCTCTTCCGCCCCGTCTTCCTCTTCCTGCTCCTCCGCCTGCCCCTTTTCCACCTCCATCCCACTCCCCATCCCACTTTCTTGATGTCTCCCTTCTCCCATCTCTCCATCTCTGCCTCCTTGCCGAAACATCCTGCCCTCGCTTGCTGCTGCTCCAGCTGCAAACTCATTCGCATCCTCGTTACTTACCTCTGCTCCACTTGCTCCATCTCGACCTGCCCCCTTCCCTCCCACCTCCTCCTCGCCCTCCTCTTCCTCCTCCTCCTCCGCCTCCTCAGCCAACTGTGCGAGGGAGAAGAGCATGAGAGCAGCCGCATCCTCCTTGGGGGGCACCCCTGCACCACCTCGCCCTGCTCCCGCTCCTCCTGCCGCCCCTGCTTCCCTGCTTCCCGCTGCTGCATGTAACGATGCTGATGCTGGTGATGCCACAGGAGGGGGTGGTGGGGCTGGGGAGTCACCTGGCGTGCAGGAAGAAGCACGTGGAGGGGAGGGGAGGAGAGGAGATAACAGGGAATAACAAGGGATAACAGGGGATAACAGGGGATAACAGGGGATAACAGGGGATAACAGGAAATAACAAGAGATAAACAGGGGATAACACGAAATAAGAGGAGATAATAGGGATTGACAGGAAATAACAGGAGATTACAGGGGATAACAGGGGAAGGGGAGCACAGGTTAGGGAGATAATCAGAGAGCAACCTGTCATGAATCCACCTCCCTCACATCCCACCTTTTTTAACTCCCATTTTCCCAGAACCCACCTGCCAGAATGTCCAACTCCCTTGAACCCCACCTCCTTTTATTTTCATCCCTCAGCACGCACCTCTCTTGCCAGTCTTCTTGGAGCCCTTGGGCCAGCCTCGCCCTTTCTTCGCACCCCCTGCTGCCTCCTCACTCCCCACGCCCCCTGCACCCTCCCAACCATCCGCACCCATCTCCGCTCCTCCCCCTCCTCGCACTGGGTTCGCCTCTCCCAACCCTCCATCTCCGCCCCTTTCGCCACGATCTAGAGAAGGCACGTGTGGGGGGGCAAGGGGGCGGGCGAGAGGGGACCTCCCTGCTGCTGCTCCTGCCTTGGCACGTTTCTTGCCCGTGTGATCCGCGGCAGCAGCAGCAGCAGTAGCAGCCGTGTGGGAGGCCTTAGCCTTGATATCACCGCCCAGTCTGGATGCTGTGGGAGCAACGGAAGGGCCTACACGTGGCGAGGCCTTTCCAGCAGCAGCAGCAGGAGCAGGAGCAGGAGCAGCAGCAGGAGCAGGAGCAGCAGCAAGAGCAGCGGCAGCAGCGGCAGTGGCACCTACGGTTCTCTGAAATGCCCCAGGCCCAACTGCAGCAGCCCCTGCCAGTGCTGCTGCTGCTCCCTGCAGTGCCATGGCATGCTCTCTGCCCCGCTCCCTTGGCCCTTTCTTCCCCTCCATCCTCTCCACTCCACCAGAACCCTTCCCTCTCTTCCCACCCCCACCACCCGCACCACCACCACCTCCTGCCACCACTGCACCCCGTGACGCTCCCCTTACCCCACCTGCTACCTCGCCAGCAGTAAGCCCATCAGCCCCATCAGCCCCCCCACCCGCACCACCCTCTCCTCCTGCGCTGCTGTGCTCCAGCAGAGCAGCCAGGTGGCCCAGCATGCCCCCCGCCTCCTGCCTCGCAGCAGCAGCAGCAGCAGCAGCAGCAGCACCGCCACGGCCAGCCACACTGCCTCCAGTTGCTACAGGCGCCCCCTCTGCGCCCGCCACACTCAGCTTCCGCACTGCTGAAGGGCCCTTGTGCTTCTTCCCAAGCTTTGAACTGCCGCCTCTGGCAGCGGCCGCCGCCGCCGCTGCTGCTGGTGCTGCTGCTGCTCCTTCTGCTGGCTTCCCAGCAGGGCCCTCCGCCTTCCCTCCTGCATTAGGACCACGCACCTTACCTGCCCCTGCTGCTGCCTCCCCCTTGGCACGCCCATGACCACTTACCTGCTTGCCGCTGCTGCCTGCAACCCCAGCAGCACCAGCACCACGAGCGCGAGAAGCGGGAGAGGCAGAAGGATCCGCACCTGCGCTGCTTTGCTTCCCGCCCTTTGGACCCCGCGCACTCGGCTCGTCCCGAGCATCGCGTGTTTCAGCCACGTTCTCGAGGCCACCAGCCAGGGCAGCAGCAGCACTGGCCATGGCAGCCAGAGCAGCCACCGCATCCTCCTCCTCCTCCACCGCCACCACTGCTGCTGCTGCTGCTCCCCCTCCTGCCCCCCTTGCTGCTGCTCCTGCTCCTGCTGCTCCTGCTGATCCTGCTGATCCTGCTCCTGCTAGTGCCGAAGCGAGAGCAGAGAGGCGAGAAATATTCCCCTGGCCGCCTCCCAACTGCCCGCCATCCCCTCTGCCCTTCGCCCTCCCAGCGCCCAGAAAAGCCTTCCCCTCCCCAGATCCAACCAGAGATATCTTCATCGCAGCCTCGCCCGGCTCTGCTGCTGTCGCAGTGGCAGCGGGAGGGAGAGGAGAGAAGGACGAAAGGAGGAGAGGAGGGGGCCGGAGGAGTGGTGAGGAGGAGGAGAGGGAGGAGGTTCGCCTGGGCTTGAACTCAGGCGGGGGGAGAACCAGAGGCGTCAAGCCACCCACATTACCAGTGTCACCAGCAGCAGCAGCAGCAGCAGCAGCAGCAGCAGCAGCAGCAGCAGCAGCAGCAGCAGCAGCAACAGCAGCATGGGGTGCAGCGTGAGGCATGGGGTGGGGAGCAGTGAGAGGGGAGTGCATCAGACGGGCAGGTGCAGGTGAAGCGGGATGAGCACCTGCTGCCCCTGCAGCAGCAGCAGCAGCAGCAGCAGGAGTGGCAGCCTCTCCTGCACCCCTCCCACCAGCACCCTTCCCACTCCCTCTCCCTCCCTCCCCTCTCCCTCCTCCACCTCTCCGCCCTCCTCTCCCTCGTCCTCCCTCCCCTCTCCCTCGTTCCTCCACGCCTCTACCCATCCCATTAGCCACTCCCCTCGCCGCGGGTCCCCGTGCCGCTAGCCCCTGCGGCGGGCCTGGCTTGCCATGGGCAGGGGGAGCTGCGGAGGAAGGTGCAGGCAGGGCGAGGGGGCCATGGGGCGGGGCGAGCGCGCTAACCGGTGGGAAGAGAGACGCATGGGCATGGGCTTGAGCATGGGCTTGAGCATGGGTGAGAGTGGGCAGTGCGGCATGGGCATGGGGCTGGGGCTGGACACGAGGATGAAGGGCAGCATGGGTGTGGTCACGCAGGGAGACGTGGCCGCCCGCGTTATGAGCATCAGTAGCCTGATCTGCAGCACGGCCATCCAGAGCAGCACGGCCATCCAGAGCAGCCCGGCCATCCAGAGCAGCCAGCGCTCCCAACGCTGCCAACTCAGCATCATCGGCCGCATCAGCGTCATCAGCCTCATAAGCTTCCTCCCTGTTCTCTCCTGCTCCAGTGCCTCCCATGGCACCCCCCATTCCACTGCCCCCCTCATGCCCATGGCGTTCCACCCCCCTCCCCTGCGCCTCATCATCTGTCTCCTCCCCTTCATCGCCCTCTCCCTCGCCCTCCTCACCCTCCCCCTCATCTTCCACCTTTTCTGCCTCCTCCTCATCTTCCACCTTCTCCGCCTCCTCCTCCTCCGCCTCCGCTTCCTCCTCTCGCTCATCACTCTCCTCCGTCCATTCCTCTTCCTCACGCCCACCACTTCCCTCCCCATTTTCCGCTCTCAACCGCTTAAACTTCCGCTCTTTGTTTAGCAATCTACTTAGCCCACCGCCACTGCCATGCGTGCTCTCACTGCCCTCCTTGCCATCCTTCTCCATGCCTGCCCTCATCCCAACGCTGCCTTCTGTCTCCCCTTTCTGTGAAAACTCTTTGTCCAAGCTGCCAGAAACCTTTTCAGCTGCCCGGGATCGGTCACGTGCCCGAACCGGCTTTGCAGCAGCAGCAGAAGCACCCTTCGAGAGCCAAGGAAATGGGGGCAGAAAAAACTCCTCATATCTTCCCAGAGAATTCCCATGAGCGTTGTTGGCCCCACCACTGCATGCCCCCTCTCTGACTTCCTGCCCTTGGCCCGGCAGCTCTCTACCAGAAGTCTCGTTTGAGTGAGGGAGCAGAGAGGCAAGGAGGGAGTCGAGGGAGGGGCAGGAGGGGAGGCGGATGAGGGAGGGGAATGCAGCGATGGGATGGATGGGGAGCCTGCTGGGGGCCAAGCATTGTGGGGTGGGAAGACAGGGGAGGAGAGGGGAAGGGCGAGGCGAGTCAGTAACGGGGTGTTGGTAGGTATGGAATTGACGTGATCGGGGAAGCGAGAAGATTGTAGGGTTGAGAGAACGTGAGCGGGTGGAGGCTGGTTCGAGAGGTTGTAGCAAGGCAAAGGCAAACACCGGTGGGTGGGCATGAGTCGGTGCTTACCTAAGTGGATCAACCAGCGACGAGTGGTTGTGGGGCTGCTGCTGAGGCCTCTGCTGCTGCCTGGTGGGCTGACCACTGCTGCTTGCCAGGCCCGCAGTGGGGGCACCAGATGCTGAGGCATGGCCAGAGAGAGTGTCGGAAGGCCGTGTGTGAAGATGTGAGTGGGGATGTAGGTGGGCATGTAGGTGTGGGAAATGAGAGTGGGCTGGGCTGGGTGCAGTGAGAGGGGGGATGTGAAGCATTTGGAGCATCGAGGGTGCAGGGGGAACAGTGGGATTGGAGAGGGGAGCAGAGGGAGGAGGAAACGGAGGGGTGTGAGGAAGAGGCACAAGAGGAGGAGGCGTGAGTGGTGGAGGCGTGAGTGGTGGAGGCGTGAGTGGTGGAGGCGTGAGTGGTGGAGGCGTGAGAGGGGCGGCCTCAGAGGGTGGGAGGGATCGCTGTGGGGGAGGGGCCATGTGCTGGGCAGAGCAGCGGAGAGGCGGGCAGAGGTGCGGCAGAATGAGAGAGTCGATCTGATGGACGGGGCAGGATGAGGGGGTGGACAAGAGAGGAAGAGATTGGGGAAGGATGAGTGGATAGGTGAGTAAGGAACGTTGTGGGTGGTAAGCAGAGCACACGTGTAGAGCACAGATGCAACACCCATGTGGTGTGGACGCAATGCCCATGTGGTGTGGATGCAACACCCATGTGGTGTGGATGCAACACCCATGTGGTGTGGATGCAACACCCATGTGGTGTGGATGCAACACCCATGTGGTGTGGATGCAACACCCATGTGGTGTGGATGCAACACCCATGTGGTGTGGATGCAACACCCATGTGGTGTGGATGCAACACCCATGTGGTGTGGATGCAACACCCATGTGGTGTGGATGCAACACCCATGTGGTGTGGATGCAACACCCATGTGGTGTGGACGCAACACCCATGTGGTGTGGACGCAACACCCATGTGGTGTGGACGCAACACCCATGTGGTGTGGACGCAACACCCATGTGGTGTGGACGCAACACCCATGTGGTGTGGACGCAACACCCATGTGGTGTGGATGCAACACCCATGTGGTGTGGATGCAACACCCATGTGGTGTGGATGCAACACCCATGTGGTGTGGACGCAATGCCCCAAATCTGCTCATCCGGTCAGCTTGGTTGCAGTGGCAAGGCTGCTGATCACTACCCTAAAAAAAGCACAAGCCGTCGGCACACGGCACCAGTTGTAATGTGAATAGAGTCAGAAATCAGTGCCCTTTGGTGCTGCGGCTGCTAGTCGTGGTGACGTATTTGCAAAGCTAGAGCATTGTCAAGCCGCTGCATGCGCACACAAACTGGCAACGACAAAACAACTGAGGCTTTTCGAGACAACTTTGGCCCGTCCGGCAAGCATGCATGCAGGTACTGCACACAAGCCTCCCTTAGTACACACGCATGCAGCAACAACCTTACCTCACCAGCAACCGCCTTACCTCATTAGCAACCGCCTCACCTCATCATCAATCTTCTTCCAGAAATCCTTCCCAGTCCCCCTCCTCCCCTGCAGTCTCTGCACCACCCTCCGTCCCTCTTCCACTCTCCTTTCCTCCTCCACTCTCCTCCCCTCCTCCACTCTCCTCCCCTCCTCCACTCTCTCCTCCTCCTCCTCTCTCGCACCTCTCCCGACATCCCCTCCTTCACAACCTCCCACGCCTCCACCCACGCGTGCTCCCAAGCCTGCACCCGAACTTAATTCCGAAGCTGCTACTGGAGCAGCATTCAGGTCCGTGTGGGCCGAGGCAGAGGCTCGGGGGGGAGAGGAGACAGTGGGGGGCAGAGAGTCGTGACTGGGGTGGTGGGGGAGGGCGTTGAGATGTGGCTGTGCTGCTGGCGCTGTGGCTTCATGTGGCAGGGTTGGTGCGTGGAGGGCAGTGGGAGGGATGGTGGGAGAGCGGAAGGAAGGTGGGAGGGAGAGGAGAGCAGGAGGAGTTGAGAGGTGGGGAGAACAGATCTGAGATGGTACAGTGGAACCTGGCGTGGAGCTTGTTACTCCTGGTGGTGTTGCTGCTGCTGCCCCTGGTGCCCCTGGTGCCGCTGCTGCTGTGACCGGGTGTTGGCTGGGAGCCAGAGGACGGGAAGGAGGCAAAGGGGCAGGAAGGAGCGAGGGAAGAGAGGAGGGAGGGGCAGTGAAGGGGGAACGAGTGGGGGGTTGGGCCAAGAGGAAAGCGAGAGCCTGCTGCTCCTCAGCTGGAGAGAGGTGGGTGGCGGGTGGCAGCAATGCTGATGGTGCACGCCCATTCACACGGCCCTTGCTTGCACTCCCCCCTCCACCTGCTACTCGCCCTGAACTGCCTCCTCCTCCTCCTCCTCCTCCTCCTCCTCCTCCTCCTCCTCCTCCTCCTCCTCCTCCTCCTCTTGCCCCTCTCACACTCCCTCCTTCGCTGATCTTTACAGCGAGCATCCTCCGCAGATAAGCTGTGGTGAGGCGAACTCTTTTTGGGGGGAGAGCTGCGCTCACAGCTGTACCACCTGCTGTAGCTGCTGTGGCACCTGCTGCTGTGACACCTGAGGCACCTGCTGCTGTGGCACCTGAGGCACCTGCTGCTGTGGCACCTGAGGCACCTGCTGCTGTGGCACCTGAGGCACCTGCTGCTGTGGCACCTGAAGCACCAGCATCTGCACTTGGAGCAGCATCAGCATCAGCAACAGCAACAGCAGCGCCAGCAGCATCAGGAGATTTAGTCGCATCAGAGGAGGCAGCAGCAGTAGAAGCAGCAGCAATCTCAGCAGTAATGTTATAAGTGTCAGTAGCAGCAGCATCAGTAGCAGCAGCAGCAGCAGCAGCAGCACCAGCAGCAGCATCAGCAGCAGCAGCGGCATCAGTAGCAGCGGCATCAGCAGCAGCGGCATCAGTATCAGCGGCATCAGCAGCAGCGGCATCAGTATCAGCGGCATCAGCAGCAGCGGCATCAGTATCAGCGGCATCAGCAGCAGCGGCATCAGTATCAGCGGCATCAGTAGCAGCGGCATCAGCAGCAGCGGCGTCGGTACTATTTGCAGCAGCAGTCTCAGCGTCAGTTTCACGAGTCAGAATCACTTCTTCTCTCTTAAGAGTGGGAGCTGATTCGTTGAACGTGGAAGGAGAGGGCTGTGGAACACTCTCAGCATCTACTGTTGCATTCTGCACACCAACTTTAGCCCTCATATCCATCCTCGTTTCAGCACTAAATTCAACAGCAGCAGCAACACTGCCATCAGCATCGCTAGCAGCGGCAGCATCGCCAGCAGCGGCCGCAGCGGTGGAACAACCAGCATCTGCTGCATCTGCAGCAGTAGCAGGGTCAGCGCCATTGCTGCCATTATCACAAGGCTTAGCCGCGTGGTCCTCAGGAGAGGCGGTAGCAGGGCCTGGAACAGCAGCGTCCGCACCAGCATCAGCACCAGCATCAGCACCAGCATCCGCACCAGCAGCAGCACGGGCAGCAGCAGCAGCTGTAACACGTTCCCCATGAGCGTCCTTGCTGGAAAGATCAGACGGCTTAGCTGTGTGATCCTCGGGGGAAGCGGCAGCAGGGCCTGAAACAGCACCATCCGCAGCAGCAGCAGCAGCAGCGGCGGCAGCGGCGGCAGCAGCAGGAGGAGCAGCAGAGATGTTTGGGGAGTGAAAAGCAGGAGCAGCAGCAGCGGCAGCAGCAGGGGGAGCAGCAGCAATAGAAGGCTGGGTAACAGCAGCAACCACAGCAGCCCAGTTTTGGGTAGCAGCAGCAGTGAGAAGCACGGAAGCAGCAGCAGCGGCAGCAGGAGCAGCAGGAGCAACAACAGGGTCGCTTGTTGCGCTAGGAGTAAGCGCAGCGGCAAGAGGAGACTGGGTAACAGCAGCAACCACAGCAGCCCAGTCGTGGGTAGCCGCGCTGGAGAGAGGCCCAGACGACCCCTCCTGTGTCTTCTGGGGTGATTTGTGTGTCTCCTTCTCCTCCCACTCACTCCCTTGTCGCTCCAGCTCGCCACACCGGATCACCTTCGCTTCATTCCTTGCTGTCATTTCACCCTCGCCCTCCTCCTTCCTGCCCTCCTCCTTCCTGCCCTCCTCCTTCCTGCCCTCCTCCTTCCTGCCCTCCTCCGTCCTGCCCTCCTCCGTCCTGCCCTCCTCCGTCCTGCCCTCCTCCGTCCTGCCCTCCTCCTTCCTGCCCTCCTCCTTCCTGCCCTCCTCCGTCCTGCCCTCCTCCTTCCTGCCCTCCTCCTTCCTGCCCTCCTCCTTCCTGCCCTCCTCCTTCCTGCCCTCCTCCTTCCTGCCCTCCTCCGTCCTGCCCTCCTCCTTCCTGCCCTCCTCCTTCCTGCCCTCCTCCTTCCTGCCCTCCTCCGTCCTGCCCTCCTCCGTCCTGCCCTCCTCCGTCCTGCCCTCCTCCGTCCTGCCCTCCTCCGTCCTGCCTCCTCCGTCCTGCCCTCCTCCTTCCTGCCCTCCTCCTCCCTCCTCCTTCCTGCCCTCCTCCTTCCTGCCCTCCTCCGTCCTGCCCTCCTCCGTCCTGCCCTCCTCCGTCCTGCCCTCCTCCGTCCTGCCCTCCTCCGTCCTGCCCTCCTCCGTCCTGCCCTCCTCCTTCCTGCCCTCCTCCTTCCTGCCCTCCTCCGTCCTGCCCTCCTCCTTCCTGCCCTCCTCCTTCCTGCCCTCCTTCCTGCCCTCCTCCTTCCTGCCCTCCTCCTTCCTGCCCTCCTCCGTCCTGCCCTCCTCCTTCCTGCCCTCCTCCTTCCTGCCCTCCTCCTTCCTGCCCTCCTTCGTCCTGCCCTCCTCCGTCCTGCCCTCCTCCGTCCTGCCCTCCTCCTTCCTGCCCTCCTCCTTCCTGCCCTCCTCCGTCCTGCCCTCCTCCTTCCTGCCCTCCTCCGTCCTGCCCGCCACTCCCTGGCGTCCCTGGTTCCCCAAAACCTCCCCTCCGTCCCTCCTCTCATCCTCCTCTCCTTCATCCTTTACCTCCTCCTTTTTCTCCATAGCCTCCTCCTCGTTCTCCTTTTTCTCCTCTTCCCCTTTCTCCCTTCCTTTCTCCTTTACCTCCTCCTCCCCAATCTCGTTTACTTCCTCCTCCTTTTTCTCCTTTAACTCCTCGTCCCCTTTCTCCTTTTCCTCCTCTCCTTTTTCCTTTACTTCCTCCTCCCCTTTCTCCTTTACCTCCTCCCCCCTTTTCTTCTTTAACTCCTCCTTTCCTTTCTCCATAACCTCCTCCCCGTTCTCCTTCTCCTCCCCTTTCTCCTCTACTTCCTCCTCCCCGTTCTCCTCTACTTCCTCCTCCCTATTCTCCTCTACCTCCTCCTCCCGTTCCGTTCCCCCCATCTCACCGTCTCCCTTCCCCCCCATCCTACCCCCTTCGCTATAGCCTTTCTTTTCTTCCACCATGTTTACTGCCCTCTCATCCCACCCTTCCGTCCTCCCATCGCACCCTTCTGCTGGGTCATCCTTCTGCCCATGCCCACTGTTCTCACTCTCCTCCCTCTTCGTCTCCTCCTCCTCCTCCACTTTCTCCTCAGCCCGCGCCTCTCCCTCCCCATATGTCACCTCCCCCTGCCCCCCATCCGCCCTCTTCTCTTCCTCCTTCCCCCCCTCGCCTGCCATCTCTCCACTGCCTCCCATCGCCTCATCCGCCCTCTCCAACCACTCGCCACCCTTCCCAACCTTCTCCCTTTCCTCTCCTTCCACAACCTTCTCCTCCCTTCCCACTTGGAGTTTTTTATCGCCTTCTGCTGCGTTTCCAATCACCCTCGCTCCCTCACTCTCCCCTAACATCTGCCCCACCTCCTCATTTCCCTCCTCTCCCTTCCTCTCAGCCTCCCCTCCTCCCTCACCCCAGCACGGCTTGCCCTTCACCTCCCAACCTTCGTCCTTGCCTTCCTTCTTCTCCTCCTCCCGTCCCTCATGGCCACGGCCATCCGCCCTTAGCACCGTCAACGCTCCCTCCCTCACCTCGTCCCCCTTTCCTCCGCCCACTGTCATGCCCTGCTGCCCACTCCCCATCATTCTCTCTTGCCCTCCTTCAACCGTCCCTCCTCCCCCCACCCCCCACTCGCCCCTTCCCTTCTCCGCAACCTCCCTCTCGCCCCTGTGCCCTCCCTGCCCTTCTCTCTCCTTCCCTCGCGCCTCCCCCCCTTCCTTCCCCCCAGTTTCGCCCACGTCTGATCGCCTTCTCTCAACTCCTCCTGCCCCAACCACACCCGCATCCTGTGGCAAACCACTTCCCTCCTTCGCACACACACCAGTGCCCTTCTCAACACCCACATTACCTCCCTCCTCCTTCCCACTCAAATCACCACCCTCCTTCCCACTCAAATCACCACCCTCCTTCCCACTCAAATCACCACCCTCCTTCCCACTCAAATCACCACCCTCCTTCCCACTCAAATCACCACCCTCCTTCCCACTCAAATCACCACCCTCCTTCCCACTCAAATCACCACCCTCCTTCCCACTCAAATCACCACCCTCCTTCCCACTCAAATCACCACCCTCCTTCACACTCAAATCACCACCCTCCTTCCCACTCAAATCACCACCCTCCTTCCCACTCAAATCACCACCCTCCTTCCCACTCAAATCACCACCCTCCTTCCCACTCAAATCACCACCCTCCTTCCCACTCAAATCACCACCCTCCTTCCCACTCAAATCACCACCCTCCTTCCCACTCAAATCACCACCCTCCTTCCCACTCAAATCACCACCCTCCTTCCCACTCACATCACCACCCTCCTTCCCACTCAAATCACCACCCTCCTTCCCACTCAAATCACCACCCTCCTTCCCACTCAAATCACCACCCTCCTTCCCACTCAAATCACCACCCTCCTTCCCACTCAAATCACCACCCTCCTTCCCACTCACATCACCACCCTCCTTCCCACTCAAATCACCACCCTCCTTCCCACTCAAATCACCACCCTCCTTCCCACTCACATCACCACCCTCCTTCCCACTCAAATCACCACCCTCCTTCCCACTCAAATCACCACCCTCCTTCCCACTCAATCACACCCTCCTCCACTCACACCACCCTCCTTCCCACTCAAATCCCCACCCTCCTTCCCACTCAAATCACCACCCTCCTTCCCACTCAAATCACCACCCTCCTTCCCACTCAAATCACCACCCTCCTTCCCACTCAAATCACCACCCTCCTTCCCACTCACATCACCACCCTCCTTCCCACTCAAATCACCACCCTCCTTCCCACTCAAATCACCACCCTCCTCCACGCCGCCTCCCTCTCCACATTCCACTCCGCATCCACTCTTATCGTCTACCCTCCGCTCCTCCCCTATACTGCTCCCCTCCTTGTCCTCTTCCACGCTCTCTCTCCCCTCCTTCACCTCCTCCTCTCTTCTCCCCACTTCCTCTTCCCCCCCTCATTTCCCCCATCCCTCCCCCCCATTTTCTCTTCCCCGCTCTCCTTCTCCCCCCCGGCTCTCTCCTTTCCCTCCTCCCTCCTCCCCTTCTCATCTCTCAGCTCCTGCTCCCTCCTCTCCCCCTCATCCCTCCCATTCACCTTCACCTCCCTCCCCATCATCAAATCACAAGCGTGTTCTTCCCTTAACCGCCTACCCACGTTTCCACTTTCTGCAGCCTCTGCCACTCCCTTCCTCACGCTGTCTCTCTGCCCCTCACCACCTCCCTCCCCTAATCCAACAGATTCCTCCGCTCTTGCACCGTCCTCCGCCTCCCCGTCACCTTCCTTTACCATCTCACCTTCCTTTACCATCTCATCTTCCTTTACCATCTCATCTTCCTTTACCATCTCATCTTCCTTTACCATCTCATCTTCCTTTACCATCTCATCTTCCTTTACCATCTCATCTTCCTTTACCATCTCATCTTCCTTTACCATCTCATCTTCCTTTACCATCTCATCTTCCTTTACCATCTGATCTTCCTTTCTATCTTCCTCACCCCTTCCCTCCCCTCCTCCCACAAAGTCGTCTACGCCTCCACCCTCCCGCATCCGTGGACCTGCGACTGCGCCTTTCGTTCCACGACCACCCGCCCCGCCTTCTCCCTTGGTACCTTCCTCGTCCCTTGCCTCAGCCGTCCATTCTTCACCCTTCCTCTCCCCTCCACTATCATCCTCCACCTCCTTCTTCTCCTCCGTGCCACCCTTCTTCTCCTCCGTGCCGCCCTTCTTCTCCTCCGTGCCGCCCTTCTTCTCCTCCGTGCCGCCCTTCTTCTCCTCCATGCCGCCCTTCTTCTCCTCCGTGCCGCCCTCCTTCTCCTCCGTGCCGCCCTTCTTCTCCTCCATGCCGCCCTTCTTCTCCTCTATGCCGCCCTCCTTCTCCTCCGTGCCACCCTTCTTCTCCTCCGTGCCGCCCTTCTTCTCCTCTGTGCCGCCCTTCTTCTCCTCCATGCCGCCCTTCTTCTCCTCCGTGCCGCCCTCCTTCTCCTCCGTGCCGCCCTTCTTCTCCTCCATGTCGCCCTTCTTCTCCTCTATGCCGCCCTCCTTCTCCTCCGTGCCACCCTTCTTCTCCTCCGTGCCGCCCTTCTTCTCCTCTGTGCCGCCCTTCTTCTCCTCCGTGCCGCCCTTCTTCTCCTCCATGTCGCCCTTCTTCTCCTCCATGCCGCCCTTCTTCTCCCCCATGCCGCCCTTCTTCTCCTCTGTGCCGCCCTTCTTCTCCTCTATGCCGCCCTTCTTCTCCTCTATGCCGCCCTTCTTCTCCTCTATGCCGCCCTTCTTCTCCTCCGTGCCGCCCTTCTTCTCCTCCATGTCGCCCTTCTTCTCCTCCATGCCGCCCTTCTTCTCCCCCATGCCGCCCTTCTTCTCCTCTGTGCCGCCCTTCTTCTCCTCTATGCCGCCCTTCTTCTCCTCTATGCCGCCCTTCTTCTCCTCCGTGCCGCCCTTCTTCTCCTCCATGCCGCCCTTCTTCTCCTCCGTGCCGCCCTTCTTCTCCTCCGTGCCGCCCTTCTCCTCCAGTAAGTCTCCCATCGCACCCTTCCCCTCCCCACTCAAGTCTCCCTCCTTCGCGCCCTCCTCACCGCCGCGCATCGCATCACCACCGCTCTTCCCTTTCCTCACTTCTTCCACCACATCCTTCACGCCAAACTCCTCCCTCTTCCCCTCCTCCCTCCTCGCCGTCTGCTCTTGTTTCACCGTGGCACCTCCACATCCACTCACCTCACTGCCCCGGCCCCCCTTCCGCCCTCGCCCGGCCTCGCCCTCTCCACCTCCCTCCATCACCACCCCCCCTGCACCACCAATGCTTGCTTCTGCTCCACCCTGCACGTCCTCGCCTCGGTGCCAGTCTCCCCCCTTCATGACGTCGCCTGCTGCCCTCATCGCCCCCACTGAAGTTGTGACTCGCTTCCCCATGTCCCTCCCTCTTGCCCCACCGATCGTCTTACCCGTGACATGCCTAGTCCAAGCCCCTCCATCCGCACCCTTCACGTCCTCGCGAGGAGTGGCTTGGATCACCGCCACTGCAATGTCAGCTCGCTCCGCCATGCCTCTTTCTGGTCTCTCAGCGCCTGCCTTGACCGTGCCGCTGCTCCCCATTCCTTCTGCTGCGCCCTTGCCTCCGCCGCCTGTAAATTTCACCTCGTCGCCTGTAGCCTTCGATTCCTCGCCTGAAGCCTCGATTTCAGCTCGCTCCGCCGTGTCTTCCTCTGCTCTCTCATCGCTTGCCTTAAGCGCGACAGTGCTGCTCTCTACTCCTCCTGCTGCTGCACCCTTGGCTCCGCCGCCTGTAGTCTTCGCTTCGCCACCTGTAACGCTCGCTTCGTCGCCTGTAACCATCGTTTTGTCGCCTGTAACCGTCGCATCGCTTGTAACCTTCGTCCCGTTGCCTGTAACCTTCGTTTCGTCGCCTGGAACGTTCGTTTCGTCGCCTGTAACCTTCGTTTTTTCGCCTGTAATCTTCGTTTCGTCGCCTGTAACCTTCGTTTCGTCGCCTGTAACCTTCACTTCGTCGCCTGTAACCCTCGTTTCGTCGCCTGTAACCTTCGCCTCGTCGCCAGCACCCTTCATTCCGTCGCATGAATTCGTAACCACACCAGCCAGGATGCTATGCTCGCCAGCAGCCCTCACTGTCACAACCCGCACTGTCGAACTCATGGCTACTTCGGCTGTGGCCGTAGCTACTACTGTTGTGGCCTTAGCTATTGGAATTGCAGCGTCACCTTTAACGGCTGTAGAGCCAGCTATAACGGCTGTAGCGTCAGCTTTGACGGCTTCCTCATCAGCTCTATCGGCCGTATCATCCGTTTTAACGGCTGTAGCGTCAGTGCTAACGGCGGTATCATCGGCTTTATTGCCTGTGGCGTCCGTTCTTTGAACTTTATCCGCGGCGGCGTCAGCTTTAACTGCTTCAGCGTCGTCTGTAGCGGTCGTAACCCTCTCTCCTGTCCCATCCTCCAGCGCCGCTTTCTCGCATTCGTGCTCCGCCACCCCACCTGCTCCTCCCAACGCTTCTCGCTTAGCCGCCCGCTGCATCTCCAACCCTACGCGGCTGTCACGACCCTCCCGCTCCACGCCTTCCTTTCCCCGTCCGCCACGCTTTTAAAAAGGTTGTTCTTTCGATGCAACTTTTTTGTAATATGTTTGTTGACGCGCCTCAAGAATCGCCGTCCGCGAGGCTTTACAATGTGTTGTGTCGATCGATGCGTCACCGACCCTTTCACCCACTCTGGACGAGACACGGCGGAGGGCGAAGCGCATAACAGCGAATCGATTGCGAGATAGCCGATCGCTCAAGGCCGCTGCCGCGAAACTGTTTCGGGTCGTAGAGCACAGTTTCGCACTGCCCTGTGAAAGGAAACGCGGACGTTCAGAGCGAATCACGGGTTACTCCTAGCTCGCTTCATCGCCGGCGAGATACGGACTGTCGACAGGGACGAGCGTTCATTGGCCAATCAACGACTACCATAATTCCCGCTGAAACGCCGACTCTCTAGGGAAACGTGGCACGCAGAGGCCTGAGAATGAGACACCAACCTTGCCTCGGTTGCTGGGACTGCTGCAGCAGGGAAAGCCCAAACCTTGCTCCTCCTGCCATCCCACCACCTTTTGTACATTTCGGAGGTCAGGGGCGTGCGATGTGCATCCGAGACAAGCTCCTACCAGTCAAGTGATCGCGACCGTCGATCTCCTTGTCGACTCAGCGGGAACCAACGGTCGCGTTCGTGAGCGGTCAAGTTACCATTCCGCGAGGATTGCTGTTATTGGACGAGGTAGCATATAAGGTCCTTATTCTTCAACCTCCACTACTTTTTGGGTTATTTCCCCCTCCTCTTCACCTTCACCAAACCTCCACATACACAACACCGCAAATAAACTTCTACGCATGTGAGTGAATACAAAATACCCGCATATACGATGGAAAGGCAAGCAAGTAGGGTGCAAAACAGCATCATGGTAACATAAGCCGTATAGAAGTTAGGAAACTCTTATAGCACAGCACTCTGCTGCGTAAGTCTGATCCACCTTTGTTGGAGTACGCCCTCACTGTTGCGAATCGGAAGATTGCATATTACTGCTGCTACGCTATACATATGCAGTCATTTGGCCACTGTGTATTCCACCATGCCATCACATGACAGTTGCAGCATGGTGGGCTCTTCCTGGTGACTGCCACTAGTGGCAGTGGCAGTGCTGCTGCCGCCACTACCGTCACTGTCCCTGCTGTCAAAAGCACCAACTCCCTCATCACCGTCAACGCTCGTTCCAAGCAGGTCTCTCCTCAGCTGCCTGGCCATGCCAGCATCCCTCAACCTGCCGTGGTGAGCGCCTGCTTGAGGCTCGTCAAACACAAACCTGGCTGCCCTCCGACTACCTCTCATGTTGCCTCCTCTCCTCGTGCTTCTGCCCCCAGCTTGCCCTGACCCAGCTGCTCCCACCCGCCCATCTGCATCACTGGGCCGCATGCCCTTCTCCTGTGATCCCCCATCTGCCCCACCCGCACCTTGCACCCGATCACCATCACCACCAGCACGACCACCCCCCCACACACCCACATCCCGCCACGCTCCCCACACTCGCTCCTCCTCCCTCCCCTCCTCACCCTCCCTCCTCTCAATCAGCACCACCCCTTCCGCTGCCAGCCTGGCATGACCTGGATCTGAGTCAGTCCACGTCAGCGCACCCTCCATCTGCACTGTGCCCCTGACAGCAGCGCTGGGAGCAGCCAGCCTGACAGAGCCGTCTTCAGAAGTAGAGGTAGAAACTGTGGTGGCGGATATGGCATCTACAGTAGTGTAGTCATCAATATCGAAGGATTTCGTCGGCCATATGTTCGGCTGGTCCTTGATTCCGGGCAGAAAGAGGCGTCCTGAGATGGGGATGGTGAGAAGCCTTGATTCCTTCTCTTCCTCTTTGTCCTTTCCTTCCCGTGTTGCTGTTGCCTCAGTCTGCCCCCGTACCGCCCCGTCACCCCTCACATCAGCAGCACGGCCTCCCTGCTGCACGCTTGGTGCTACCATCGTCCACGCCACTGCTCCCTGCTCTGTCAGCGGGCTCTCAAGAACAACCACGCCTCGAATCACTCCCTCTGCTGTCACGCCCTCTGTTGCCTCAGGTGCACTTTCAGCTGCAGCAGCAGAGGATTCGTTATAAGGCGCAGGTTCGGGGCTTGCGGCATCACTGTAGTCATAATCACCACCACCAGCACCACTTCCCCTCAACTTACCCAAACCATCCCCCCCATCCACCTCTCCCCTCCCCTTATCTGCGTCTTCCTCCCCCCCTCTCGTCCCACCACCTTCCCCAGGCTCCTCGCCCTTCCCTCTCGCGCTGCCTCGGGTCACCCAGCAGGCAAACGAGCCGGGGGACAGCACCACTGCTGCAGGTTGCACGGGGCTGCCACTAGTGCTGTGTCCCGCTGCCTTGGTGCTGTTTCCATAGCGTTTACGATCGGGCTTGCCTTGTGCTCCCCCACTGCTGCTGCCCCCACTGCTGCTGCCCCCACTGCTGCTGCCCCCACTGCTTCCGCTCACATCGTTGCCCGCCCCCTCTGCCTTGACGCCCCCATCACCATTGTCCTCCGCCCTGCTCTTCCCCTTTCCCCCTCCCTTGCTACTCAATGACCCACTCACAGCACCGCCTACCCCAGTCCCCACCTGAACCTCTCCCCCATGAACAGTGACCAGCATAGACTGCTCCAGGGACGGTGGTGGTGGGTGGGGTGCGGTGCGAATGGGTTCCTTAACCTCGCTGGCAAAAGGGTTCTCTACCGCCCATTCTTCTTGCGCCCCATCCTCCCCCTCCTCCAGTGAAAGCCCATTCTCTAAGCCTTCCCAGCCTTCCTCTCTTTTGCCTCGCTTCCCTCCTCCCACGGTCTGCCAGAAGAGCGGAGGGTGGTGCAGGTGAGCGGACTTGTTGCTCCTACCGCAGAAGCTTATAAGGAGGTCCTCCAGAGGGGCCTCCAGGAACCTGTCTTCCACGTAAGTCAAGAGCGGCAGGATCTGACTCTCCTCGCCTCGCAGCAGCAGCGCTTGCACGCCACGCACAGGGCGCAGCATTGTGGCTTCGTTATAGACTGATTCGCCATCAGCTTGTGAGCCATTCCCACTTGGCCGCGCCCGTCCTGCGAGGGACACCACCCCCCAGTCCCTCCCCCTCAGCTCTCGAAACAGGAACCTCTCCATCGCCACGTCATACCCCTCCCTCACTCGCACCCCTCCTCTCCCTCCAACCCCTCGTCTCCCTCTCGCCCCTCCTCTCTCTCCCGCCCCACCTCGTTCCTCCTCCTCCCCCCCTTGCAGGAAGAGCACGAATCGTGGGTTGGACGCGGCGCACTGCCTGACAGCATGCACGAACTGCACTGAGCGCTGCACCTCCTGCTGCCACGCCAGCCGCATACACGCCTCTCTCACTCTCTCCCCACACCCCTGCTCCTTCTCCCCTTGCTGCTGCTGCTGCTGCGGCTGTCCATCTCCCTGCCTCATCTTTGCCCCCCTGTGCTGCCCAAGTCCATCCGCCACCTCCGCAGAGAGGCTGCTGAGGGGCGTCAAGAGGCGTGCTGCGTGCCCAGGGGGGAAGAAGCGCGGGGAGTAGGCGCTCAGGAGCTGCCGCCTGGCAGCTGCTGGCAGTGCGTGCGCGAGAGAGCAGACGGCAGGAGGCGTCTGCACCAGGTCCACCTCGAAATCTCCTGAGAGCTCCTCCAGTCCCAGCCAGTCGCCCTCCGTGCCACTGTCACTATCCGTGACGTCCTCCATGTCCCCATCGTCATCCTCCATGCCATCATCATCGGCACTCCACCCCGCTCCCTCAGTCGCCTTCACCTCTCCCTCTCCTGCTCTCTGCTTTTTTATATTTCTCTGCCCAGTCCCAACCTCACGCGTTCCCGGGCCTGTCACGGAGGCTCGGCAGCTGGGCCTGCAAGCCACAGCGCGCATGGCGCGTTTTAGAAGAAGCCCCTCGGCGCGGTGGCGGTCAAGAGAGAGCAGGAGGCTGAGAGTGGGTGAGGGGGAAGGGGAGGGGCGGTTGGAAGTATCCCTGCTCTGCTCTTTGCTGACTGCGGAGGCTGACGCCTTGAAGTGGCTGTGAAGGAGCTTGAGGAGGGCGAAGATGGGTGCGGGTGAGTGGGCCGAGGGGGACGAGAGAGGACGGCCGGCAGGGGAGCAGGAGCAGTGGAGAGGCGCAATGGCAATGCAGATGCCCCATGGCGTGGTGGGGCCACGGGAGTTGCTGTTGTCGTTGCTGATGCTACCCGATTCTGCGCTGCTTCCACCACTGGCGTTACTCTTCCCACCCCCTCCATTCCCACCCTCCCCACCCCCACCTGCTCCACTCCCACCGTCCGCATTCCCATCCCCTCCACTCGTAGCACGGCCACCACCTCGACTCGCCTCGCCAGCGAACGCCAAGGGGTGAAAGAAGGACGGGCTCACGAACGCACGCAGAGGAGGCACGGCGGCGCCTGCACGGCCAGACAATGATCCTGAACCTATGCCCGAACCTAAGTCCGAACCTATGCCCGAACCTACGCCCGAACCTACGCCCGAACCAGAGCCACCACTCCCCTCGCCGCTGCTACTAGCAGCAGTACGCCCGAGCAGTCCCCCTCGCAACTCCGCCCCTTGGTCATGCGCCCAGCCACCAGATCGATACTTCTCGCCCACGCCTTCTGCCGCCCACTCCCACTCGTGCAGGGCGCCGCACGCAACCGATCCTGCTCGGTTAGACAAACGGAATCCGTCACCGTCTAATCCGAAGTCGCATGGACCAGCAGCGCTAGTGCTGGTAACCGCGTCAGGTGTAACGTGGCTCGGCCTGAGCCGGGGGCGCAGGAAGATCAGGAGGGCGATGCATGCTACGAGCGAGAGCACGCAGCAAAGCGCGCTGAGGCTGGTGACTCGCCGCAAGGGGCGGGTGCGTGGGCGGAAGAAGGGGAAGCGGCGGAGGGAGACGGGCGGGAGAGAGACGGAGTCAGAGGCGCGGGGAGGGGAGCGCGAGGAGGTGCGCGGAGGGGAGTGCGCGCGCGAGGACGCGGAGGGGCCACGGCGAGCGATCATCGCGTTGGGAATTGCGAGACTGTTCCGGGCGACAGCTTCACAAGGCACGGGAAGCCGGCGCGCGTGCAATGACCCCCGGCGACGGCGACCGGTCGTTCGACGCTCGTCTGCGAGCAAGTTGCCATTACGACGCCGTGCGATGGGACGGCGAGGCGACGGGCGGAGGGGAATGAAATCGAGAGGCGAGCGACACGAGGTCGGCCGCGCGATGATCGGACGGCCTACGGCCGCCGGGACGGCTTGCGTTCTCTCTCATCGCGAGCGGCTCCGCATCGATGGCGCGAGCGGCTCCGCATCGATGGGGCGTGCGCGTGTGACGGCATTGCTCGGTGTGTGCTAGACCAGGAAGGTCCGACTCGCTCTGACACTGCCTGATGACCGAGGCAGCGTCATCATCAGGCTCGAGACGAGACTTTCGAGAATTTCGGCTCGCGGGCGAATTCCTAGCAAGTGTCAGGCCACTTCGGGTCGAACATCAGCACCTGCGGTGATGCGTACAAATCCTAGCCGCCAACCCTTTGTGTCAAGTGAGCCTGACACTTGCTGGGAATGCGCCCTGAGTCTCTCCTCGAGTCTCCTCCAGTGCGCACCCAGCAAGGGCGCAGCACAGATTCTGTCACGGATTTGTTTGTGTGATGGTGAAGAATAACAACGAGTATCAAACAGAGTTGCACATCCAACTTAGCACGAGCACTGTTCCATAATTGAACTTGCATACTAGCGCGTACAGATTCCCCATTGCGTTCTGGGCCGCTCGGGCAACATTTTCTCCGCGATTTGAAGTAGCGTGGGAACCAATCGGACAGTTTCAATCATCGCCTGCGCGCATGATGGTCAGCGGACACGTGGCAGTGTGACTCCCACGTATTCGCCAAAAGGATACTTCAGTGCGAGGATACCGAGGCGCGAGCCTCAAACGTCACCCTCCGTAGTACTAATCAATTCGTAATCTATCCCAGCAGGCAGCGCCCAGCAAGCAGCATGGCGGCCCCCGTGCTCGTGTCACCCGCGGCACTGGCGGCTCTGGAGGGCGAGGGTTGGCACGTTCTACCGCACGCGCTGCTCTCGCTCCTGGCCGCGAAACCCGCCTCCGCCGACGTGGCCCACGATGCCGCGACCCAGCCGTCCTCGCTCCCCGCCTCACTGCCGCCCGCAGCGCCCTCGGCGCTCTCGGCGCCGCTCTCGTTGCAGCAGGTGCGCGCGGCGGCGCTGGACTTGGACCTGCGGAGATTCGGGCAGGGGTGCCTGCCGGACGACGTGAACCGGGTGGAGAGACGGCGGCTGCAAGGAAGGTTCGTCGTGCAGGTGAGCCATGAAACCCCTTGCCTCCCCGCGCTCCCCTTGTTGCGCGCACGTGCGCTACACTCGGACCTGCGGCAGAACAGGTGGGGGTGTCTGCCAGACGACCTGGACTGGACCACGCGGAGCTCCGCCGCATGCAAGGGGAGGTTCGTCGTGCAGCACAGATGAACTCCTGGCGGGAACGAACCGCCACCAATCCGCCATGCCCTGCCCCCCCCCTCAGATTCCCCGCTTCCGCCCCCGCCACTGTCTCCGCCTTCCCACCGCCTTCCCAATGCCCCCCTCCCTCTGCAAGTCATTACGTCAGGCGTTGCTTGGGCTGCTGGTGTAGCGCGCACCCATCACGAGCTGCTGGTGTAGCGCGCACCCATCACGAGCTGCTGGTGTAGCGCGCACCCATCACGAGCTGCTGGTGTAGCGCGCACCCATCACGAGCTGCTGGTGTAGCGCGCACACATCACGAGCTGCTGGTGTAGCACGCACCCATCACGAGCTGCTGGTGTAGCGCGCACCCATCACGAGCTGCTGGTGTAGCGCGCACCCATCACGAGCTGCTGGTGTAGCGCGCACCCATCACGAGCTGCTGGTGTAGCGCGCACCCATCACGAGCTGCTGGTGTAGCGCGCACCCATCACGAGCTGCTGGTGTAGCGCGCACCCATCACGAGCTGCTGGTGTAGCGCGCACCCCATCACGAGCTGCTGGTGTAGCGCGCACCCATCACGAGCTGCTGGTGTAGCGCGCACCCATCACGAGCTGCTGGTGTAGCGCGCACACATCACGAGCTGCTGGTGTAGCGCGCACCCATCACGAGCTGCTGGTGTAGCGCGCACCCATCACGAGCTGCTGGTGTAGCGCGCACCCATCACGAGCTGCTGGTGTAGCGCGCACCCATCACGAGCTGCTGGTGTAGCGCGCACCCATCACGAGCTGCTGGTGTAGCGCGCACCCATCACGAGCTGCTGGTGTAGCGCGCACCCATCACGAGCTGCTGGTGTAGCGCGCACCCATCACGAGCTGCTGGTGTAGCGCGCACCCATCACGAGCTGCTGGTGTAGCGCGCACCCATCACGAGCTGCTGGTGTAGCGCGCACCCATCACGAGCTGCTGGTGTAGCGCGCACCCATCACGAGCTGTTGGTGTAGCGCGCACACATCACGAGCTGCTGGTGTAGCGCGCACACATCACGAGCTGCTGCGCCGACGCTGCTGCAGCAGGCCCACCCACATGCCGCCGTCCCTTCCCTCTTCCCCCCCCTCGCCCACAGCCGCCACGCGTTGCCAGCAGCAGATGTGTGCCAGCCCCAAGGGCTCGGAGGAGGACTCCGAGTCACTGCAGCTGACACCGTGTTTCTCACTCCTTGCTTCACGTGGCTCCCCTCTCCCATGTTAAACCCCCGCCAGGTGGTGTCAGTGGTGAACGTGTGCGAGCCTAAGGGCGGGGAGGACGCCGAGTCTGCTGCAGGCGCTGGCGAGGACGACCCCTGGGAAGACGACGACAGGCCGCCCAGCACCACTGCTGCTGCTGGTGCCGCTGCAGCCAGTGGTGCTGGTGTGGATGGGTCGGGAGGGAGAGCGCTCCCCATGGGTGGTGTAGGCAGCGGCAGCAGTGGAAGAAGGCTGCTGCGCGTTCGGGTGACGGACGGCAAGAGGAATGCGAGTGGGGTGGAGGTGCACCCGTGCCCCCACGTGCCCGCTGCTGTTGCTCCAGGGACCAAGGTACCACGCACCGCTTTGTGTGCTCCGTGCTTTAAGACTTGGGAGGAATGTTCAATCAACCGTGTGCCCTTGTTGCTCCTCCCCTGCGTCTGCTCCTCCCCTCCCTCCCTTCCTTTCAGCTGCAGCTCGCCAGCCCTTTCACCCCCCACAGCCTCATTCTCCTCAACCCCACCATCGTGCACTTCCCTCGCATCTCCTCTCCCCATTCCGCGCCTATTTCTCCCCTCCCTGCCTCTCATCTTCCCTCCCTCCCCCCCTCCACCTGCTTCTCGCCAAACCTCTCATCCGCCATGGCTTCATCCCCCTCGACCCACTATCCGTTCAAGTGCTGGGCAGCCGCGTGTTGCCGCTCTACAAGGAGTGGGACATGCAGCGCCGCTACGCGCTCCTGCCGTCATTCCCCATCCCTTCCCCATCTCCCCCCGGCCCCCCTTGCTTTTCCTCCAGCTGCTGCTCACCAACCCATTCATCCGTCACGGCTTCATTCTCCTCGACCCACAATCCGTGCAAGTGCTGGGTGGGCGCGTGTCCCCCCTCTATGAGGAGTGGGACATGCAGCGCCGCTACTCCCTCCTCCCCTCCCTCACCCCCACGCCTGCCTCCTCCTCCCGCTCCTCCCGCACTGCCTCTTCCTCCTCCACCTCCACCTCCTCACTCCCTGGTGCTGCTGGCGGCCCGCCTCCCTTCCGAGGGGTCACAGACGCGCGCCTGCAAGCAGTGCCTGCAGCCATGCCTGTGCCTGCCACCACAGCCACAGCCTCCAAGCCTGCAGAAACAACGGCCACAGCAGGACCCCACATAGGGGACACAGCTGCACACGTGGCATCTGGAGCCCCTGGAGGGAAGGTGGCATCTGGAGCAGGTGCTGCTGGTGCTGCCCTTCCAGCAGCAGCAGCAGCAGGTGGTGCAGCACCAAGAGAGGGGGATGGTGGGGCGGCAGAGGAGGGCGAGGGGGGGTCAGCAGCGGAGGCAGCGAGGGAGAGGGCGGTGGAGCGGGCGAGAGTTGAGGCTGCCGCTGCTCTGAAACAGCTCGCCCCGCACGACAGGGGTGCTTCCAGGAAGCTGCTGGAGCGGATGGGGGAGGAGCAGGGGCGGGGAAGAGGCAGGAGGGGAGGGCGTGGGCGAGGGGGAGGGGGAGGAGGGGGAGGGATGAGGAGGAGGATGAGGGGACAATGACTCTGGAGGAATGGGAGGCGCGGAAAGCCGTGGGGAGACAAGCAGCGGGGAGAGGGGTGGGAAGAGGGGTGGGGGGAGGGGTGGGGGGAGGGGTGGGGGGGTTGGGAGCGGGTGCGAGCGGTTCAGCCCAAGTGATGTCAGATGAGGAACTTGCAAGGAAGCTTCAGGCAGAATTGGATATGGAGGACATGGGAGGCTGGGTAAGTCTCAGGGGTTCTGGTTCCTCCCTTGCGCTCATTCTCTGCTTGCGGTCTAACCTACCCCCCCCTCCCTTTTTGCCCTTCTGCCTTTCTGTTTCCCTGCTCTCTCACTTCTACTCACTCGTCCTGCCCAAACGCCACGCTTCTCTGCCCCCCTTGAACTCATTCTTTAAGCAGGCACACGCAGCCCACGCGCCACCACACGCACACCACACGCCCCCTGCTGCCACGTCAGCATCGGAGCAGCTGCAGCAGTCACTGTTCACCTTCCAGCCCGCTGCAGAGCCAGAGGGATACCACGAGGGGGGCAGAGGAGGGCGAGGTAGGCGGGGGAGGGGAGGGTTTGGAGGTGGCACCAGCGGGCGCTATGGGGGGAGAAGGGGAGGAAGAGGAGGCAGAGGGTAGCAGTGTGCCGCTGTGGTTGCGAGGGGCACACGCTTCAGGCTGGTTGCTCCACATCCTCTGTGTGCCAGCGGCTGCTCAACCTCCTTGCTCAGGCTGCTCTGCCTGCCAGGGTACACTTGCGCTGCCGAGCTTTCTCACAAGATATGGTAATACCCATATCACAAGAAGCTGGATGGTTGCATTGCATGCATGCAACGATATGGTTGCGTTGCATGCCTTCTGGATGATGGCAAGCAGCAAGAGCGCAGCAGCTGAGCACAGCCAAGTTGCTGCCATGCATGGCAGGGAGTTTGCCCCTCGCACCCTCGTTTCAATCCCAACCGCTTTGAGTGCCATGGTTGCTGTTAGAGCGTGTTCCTATGAGCCTCTTCCCAAGCAACCTCTTCCCAGACTCTCCCACTACAGTGTCGCGAATTTTGACGCGAAAAGTTATTGTGCGGCTCTGCAAAGTGCGAAGTAAGGTATGTCTTCCCGTGATTCAGGGGCGTGTTTTGAAACCTTTTTCCAGACGAACAGGTTTTCAGACGCACGAATCTGCACAGTAGAATTTTGACTCGAACTGTTTTTATGTGGTTGATAGCGGTGGAACGCAAATATGAAACGCGTGTACTCCGAAAAGTAGTCCTGAGAACACGCTCTCAAGGGGCGCGTGAGTCTGGGAAGTGGTTGCCTAGGAAGAGGCTCGTAGGAACACGCTCTTAGTGCGAGCAGTTTTCCAGAAGAGTAATAAATTCTCATTTGGGCAACGGCCAAAGCTGAGGGTTACTTGAATTTTGGACGGTAACATGAGAGCACACTTCCTAGAATGGCTTGCGATAATGACGACGGGGGTACGAGCAATCGGTTGTGCCTACGCTCCCCCTCGTCCTCATCCTCATCCTCCCACTCGCCCACTGACACACACGAATTCATGCGGCTGTGCCGTCGCTGCTGCTGGCCCCGAGCCTCGCCATTTGGTTTGGCTGGAGCAGGGCGGGCCGCAGTGCCTCCGAACCCAGCAGTGAGGCCCGGAACCATGGTGACAGGAGCGGTGGGCGAGTGAATGTAGTGGTGTATAGGTTTCAGCTGGCTCTGAGGTTTTGGGTAAGGGGGGAGGAGGGGAGAGAGGGAGGAGGGGGATAGGGGAGGATTGGGACTTAGACGGCAGATTACGTGTTTGACGAGGGGATGGCGATGACGCCCAAGAGACAACGGTGGTACTAGTCATCCCTGCATCACCACTGGACCTGCGTATTGACACCATGGCACCCAACTGATGTTCCCTCGGACTTGCATCGGGAATATGACTGCAACACCATACTGCAGCACAACGCAGGGCTGCTCAAGGACTTGTGCCGCCCACCCACCCACCCACCCACCCACCTCATGTGTGCACTCAGAAACGGCACGCACAAGCACGCACCAGCAACCATCAGCATCCATCAGCATCCATCACCACCGCACCTGCAGGCAATCGCAGTGTATCTGATCGAGCAGAGGGCGAGTGGTGTCAACCAGCAGCATACGCGTGTGCTCTGATACCACCGAGGCCGACACACTCATGGCAGTTACCTGGGGGCAAGGCGTGAAGGCGAACAACAAGGGAGGCATCGGCAAGGCATGATGAAGCCGCAGCATGCGCATGTGCTCTGATGCTTCCGACAGCTGCAGAATCGACGTGCAAACGCAATGGTCTATGCCGACGGAATGCTATGCACAGCATAGGACACATCGCAGTTGCACACCGCCTGCTGCAGCTGTGCGTTGCCATGCAGCCACGCGGCTGTTGTAAGCATGCTCCCCTGCTCGCAGCAGAGCGTGGAGGCACAGCAAGACATGACACCCATCACGTCACAAGACGCACCATATGGCCCAGCATGGTACTCATGGCACACAGCATGGAACACATGTCACGCAGCATGGAACACATGTCACACAGCATGGAACACATGTCACACAGCATGGAACACATGTCACACAGCATGGAACACATGTCACACAGCATGGAACACATGTCACACAGCATGGAACACACATGACACACAGCATGGAACACACATGACACACAGCATGGAACACACATGACACACAGCATGGAACACACATGACACAGAGCATGGAACACATGACACACAGCATGGAACACATGACACACAGCATGGAACACATGGCACACAGCATGGAACACATGACACACAGCATGGAACACATGTCCACAGCATGGAACACATGACACACCGCCTCTTCCAGCTGCTTGTTGCCGTGCAGGCACGCATCAGCGGATGGAATGTCCACCTGCTTGCAATGCATGGAAGGACCACAAAGCACCACACAGCACCCATCACGTCACACACATATGGCCAGTGGTGCAAAGCATACCTCGTGCGCCAGCTGCTTGTTGCCGTGGAGCCACGCCTCGGCTGTGAGGATGTCCACCTGCTCGCGCGCCCCCACCTGGTGCCACGTGGGTGCGGAGGGTTGCGGTGTGGTGAGAGGGATAAGCGAGTGGCGAGAGGCAGGGGAGAGGACGAGGTGAGTGAGAGGGATGTGCGAGTGGTGAGAAGCAGGTGAGGGGATGTGCTCCCGCTCTTTGCAGTGCAGGTGAACGGGAAGAGAGGGGGGGTAGTGGTAGCGAGGAGGAAAAGAGCGTGATGGAGGGAGGAATAGCTGGCCACAGAAGAATGAGTTGAAGCGATGAGGGAGAGATAACCGCAGCGTACAGAGCAGTGGGGCAGGTTGCCGGCGTACAGAGCAGAGGGGCAGGTTGACGGCATACAGATCAGAGGGTCAGGTTGCCGGCGTACAGAGCAGAGGGGCAGGTTGACGGCATACAGAGCAGAGGGGCAGGTTGACGGCATACAGATCAGAGGGGCAGGTTGACGGCATACAGAGCAGAGGGGCAGGTTGCCGGCATACAGAGCAGAGGGGCAGGTTGCCGGCATACAGAGCAGAGGGGCAGGTTGCCGGCATACAGAGCAGAGGGGCAGGTTGCCGGCATACAGAGCAGAGGGGCAGGTTGCCGGCATACAGAGCAGAGGGGCAGGTTGCCGGCATACAGAGCAGAGGGGCAGTTTGCCGGCATACAGAGCAGAGGGGCAGTTTGCCGGCATACAGAGCAGAGGGGCAGGTTGCCGGCATACAGAGCAGAGGGGCAGGTTGCCGGCATCGGAGAGAGCAGCTCTGAACTTCCAGGGTGCGCCGCTGGCCAGCACGCCCCTCAGCTCCACGTGCAGCGGCACCCCGCCTCCCCCCTCCCCTGCATCGTCGCCCATCTTGCCCGTCACCACCACGGGCGCCGCCGCGTACAGGTCCGGGATGGGGTATGGATACAGCTGGCAGGGGCAGGAGACGATAGGGAGGTGAAGGATGCCTTAGTACCAACCAACTCCACGCGCACACGCGTACAGGTCTGGGATGGGGTACGGGTACAGTACAGCTGGTGGGGGCGGGGGAGAGGGGTGAGGCGCATGGTGAGGCGGGCAGGTGCGGTAGGAGGGGTGCACGATGATTGCAAGGCCCGCAATCTGAGCCAGTCTGTGCCACACGAAAAAGTACGGGGTGGGGCACAGGATGGGGTACGGGTACAGGTGGCATGGGCGGGAGAGAGGGTTGAGGTGCACGGTGAGGTGAGCAGGTGTGGTGCGGTAAGAGGGAGACGCTGCATGGGTGTGTCTCGTATATCTGCTGATTCCCGGCACAGGACTCGATTTTCAAAGATTTTGTGAGAAGGGGCAGAGAGAGGGGAGGCAAAGCGCTGCGAGGAGATTGCGAGGTAACTCCCTGACGGCAGGTGTTACCCTCCACGTGAGCTCGGGTAGAACCTCGCAGGCAGGGGGGGGTGGGGGAGGTGTTACTCCCTGGATGGACTGACAGTGTGGCTGGGGATTTTTCTCGTTCGCCTCGCAGCCAGGTGGTAGGTCCAGAGGACTAAAGGTCCCATCAAGTGTTACCTCGCAGCCGGGCGGCAGGTGTTACCTCGCAGCCGGGCGGCAGGTGTTACCCTGCTGCCAGGCGGCAGGTGTTACCTCGCAGCCGGGCGGCAGGTCCCGGATGGCAATATTGGTGACGAGAGGTTGGGCCACCGCCTGCAGCATTCGATCCAGGCGCCGGCGCACGCTGCCTGGGGGAGGGGGGGTGGGGAGGGGTGGGCGGAAGGGGGTTGAGAAGGATAGGGGAAAAAGATAGGGACAGGAAAGAGGGGGGACAAGGGGTTGGGGGCCTAGGATGAGGGAAGGAGTACACCAAACAAAGTACCAAGGGGAAACAGGGAGCGTAGGGGGGTGGGAAATATGGATGGGGAAGACGTAAAGAAACGAAATACAGACACAAGAACGCAGTACCAGGATTGCCGGTGGTACCAGGATTGCCGGTGGTACCAGGATTGCCGGTGGTACCAGGATTGCCGGTGGTACCTGGATTGCCGGTGGTACCTGGATTGCCGGTGGTACCTGGATTGCGGGTGGTATCTGGATTGCGGGTGGTACCTGGATTGCAGGTGGTACCTGGATTGCGGGTGGTATCTGGATTGCGGGTGGTACCTGGATCGCAGGCGGTATCTGGATTGCGGGTGGTACCTGGATTGCGGGTGGTATCTGGATTGCAGGCGGTACCTGGATTGCGGGTGGTATCTGGATTGCGGGTGGTACCTGGATTGCAGGTGGTACCTGGATTGCGGGTGACCTGAGAGGAGCCTCGGGTGACAGCAGCGAGCCACGTGAGGAAGTAGAGATTCACTGACGGGCCTGGTTGGGGCGCATGGGATGGATCAGAGGCCAGCACACATGCATGTAGTTGTCTGTCCGCATCACCACATGGTTCCCATGTGGCTGGTGACCATGTGGTCCGCATGTGGCACGAATACCGAGGGGCATTCCGGGTGCGTATAAATGGATCGTGCATGCTTACAGAGTAGTAGAGTAAACCTCATGGGTTAACAAAGGAGATTTGGGTCAGAATGAATGGAAAAGGCCCACAAGGTCTGGAAGTTGGGGTGGCCACATAACGAACCACAATCCACTTCAAGTGCATGAATCGACCTTAGTCTCCCCTCGTTGTAGTCTCCCCTGAGTCTGTCTCCCAAAACACGGATCTCGCCCCTGTCTCCAATATCTGATCGGCCCAGCAGGCAGCGAGCCCCCTTCCCTTGGCATTCTCTTCGTGATGCCGCGGGCCGCCAAGGAAAAGCCGCCAAGCGAGGCCCCTAGGCTGTTGTCAACCGGCACCGTAAAGTGCATGCCAATGGGGCAAGCCTGCTTTTGAGTTGACTCAAAAGCAAGCCGCGGGGGCAATCTCAAGACTAGGAGAAGAGACGGGGTGAGCTGATGCAGAGGGATCTCTACACACGTACCGATGCCGAAGGTGAAGATGCGCGGGGCGTTGGGCCCCCAGTCCGCGAGCGCGTCCTGCACGAAGCGGCACACCCGGCGCTCCGCCCTCACCGGCCCGTCCGTGATGATGACGATCTGCTGCAGGGCGGCCGTGTGGCCACGAAGCATGCTGAACGCCTGGGAGGATGGTAGGGTGGGGTGCAGGCACCGCGAGGGAGGGTCGCGCGTGGGATGCGATGCATGGTGATGGGCATGGGCACGGTGGTGGGCATGGGCACAGTGATCAGTCCGTGATGAAACACAAAGACCAGTCCGTGATGATCACGACCTGCTGCAGGGCGGCTGTGTGCCCCTTAAGCATGGTGTAGGCGTGGGGGGCGAATGGCGGATTGCATTGCATGCATGTAGGGTGTGGGACAGGGTGGCGGGTGTAGGTGCGGTGTGTGACTCGCTGATGATCACGACCTGCTGCAGGGCAGCTGTGTGGCCCCGCAGCATGGTGAAGGCCGGGGGAGGCGATGGGATGACATGCGGGGCGAATGGGTGGATGACATGCAGGGAGTGCGACATGCGGAGCAGGCACGTATGGTACGGGTAGGGTGATGCGATGAGGAGGGGGAAGGGGGTTACGGCAAGCAGACAATGAGGAGGGATGGCGAATGGATGGTGGGATGGAGGGATGGGAAAAGCAAATGGGACGTAGAGCGATGGGAGGAAGATGATGGGTTGTGGAAGAGGAAGCAATGGCTTCTTGCAGCCGAAGGTGACGGGTCCTCTACTCCCTCCCTCACCTACTCTCACCCCTCTCCACCTCACTTCATCCCTCCCCACTCACCAGCTGCAGCGGAGTGAGCACGCTGGTGGGCTGGTCCCAGTCGTGCGCCTGCAGCACGAACTTGCATGCGCGCCGCACAGCCTCCGGGGTGGCAGCCTCGAGTTCATCCGCCAGCAGCAGCAGCTCGTAGTCGAACGCCACCACTGCGAACGAGTCGTGTGGTTGGAGACGCTTGAGAGCGGCTGCCACGGCCTTGCGCGCCTCCTCCATGGGCTTTCCTCTCAGGCCGGTCTCGCTATCTAGAATAAACACCACTGCCCGGCTGAACACCTGGTGACCGTGGGAAAGGGGGGGTGGGGGAGAGGAGTGGGTGGGGGAGGGGAACGGAGCAGAGTGATGCATCCTGGGAACTGACCGTCCCTCCTGCTCCCCTTCCCTCCCTCGTCCGCCAGCAGCAGCAGCGCCACCACTGCGAATGAGTCGTGGGGCCGCAGCTGCTTGAGCGCCGCCGCCACAGCCTAGCGTGCCTGCCTGCTCCATGGGCGACCTCTTAGCCCTGTGTGACTGCCTAGGATGAAGACCACTGTCTCGCTGTCTAGGATGAAGACCGCTGCCCGGCTGAACACCTGGGGCGGGGCGGTGGATGGGGGAAGAGGGTGGTGTGGGCGCGGCTTCCACGGCCCTGCGCGCCACCTCCATCAGGCCGGCTTCACTGTCTAGGATAAATACACACCACTGCGTGGCTGAAAACCTGGTGGGGGTGGTGAAGTGTGGGTGAGAGTGGTGCGTGCGTTAGAAAGACGTGGCAGTGGCCGCATTACAGGCAGGCATGCGAGGACACGAGATGGGTTGCTGTGGAGGTGGAGAGAGCGTTGAGGAGAACATAAGGGTATGGTGTGGGGAAAGAACATACGGGTATGGCGTGGGGAAAGAACGGCATACGGAGGCAGCGAACAACATACAGGGAAGCGAACAACGTACCGAGAAGCGAACAACGTACCGAGAAGCGAACAACCTACCGAGAAGCGAACAACGTACCGAGAAGCGAACAACGTACCGAGAAGCGAACAACGTACCGAGAAGCGAACTACACACCGAGAGGCGAACAACGTACCGAGAGGCGAACAACGTACCGAGAGGCGAACAACATACCGAGAAGCGAACAACATAGCGAGAAGCGAACAACGTACTGAGAAATGAGCAACGTACCGAGAAATGAGCGCGAACAACGTACTGAGAAATGAGCAACGTACCGAGAAATGAGCGGGGTCGGGAGGAGCAATGGAGAGGGCGAAGGAGGCACGCGTGTCGGGGTCTCCGATGAGAGGCGCCTGGACCAGAACTGCTGCAAACACGTCCTCCGTCACCACCTGGTAACATGGAGCCATGGCATCGTGCCATCAATGCCAACATGCCACCATGGCACCATGGCACCATGGCACCATGGCACCATGGCACCATGGCACCATGGCATCATGGCATCATGGCATCATGGCACCATGGCACCATGGCACCATGGCATCATGGCACCATGGCATCATGGCATCATGGCATCATGGCATCATGGCACCATGGCATCATGGCACCATGGCATCATGGCATCATGGCATCATGGCACCATGGCAGGCACCATGGCACCATGGCACCATGGCACCATGGCATCATGGCACCATGGCATCATGGCATCATGGCATCATGGCACCATGGCATCATGGCACCATGGCATCATGGCATCATGGCATCATGGCATCGTGACATTATGACATCATGGCATCAAGCATGCCAGCATGCCATGTCATCCCACAATCATACCACCATGCTATCGTACCACCATAGCATCAAGCCATGACATACCACACCATCATGCCATTGTGCCATCATGCCATTGTGCCATTATGCCATTGTGCCATCACGCCATTGTGTCATCATGCCATTGTGCCATCATGCCATTGTGCCATCATGCCATTGTGCCATCATGCCATTGTGCCATCATGCCATTGTGCCATCATGCCATTGTGCCATCATGCCATTGTGTCATCATGCCATTGTGCCATCATGCCATCGTGTCATCATGCCATTGTGTCATCATGCCATTGTGCCATCATGCCATTGTGCCATCATGCCATTGTGCCATCATGCCATTGTGTCATCATGCCATTGTGCCATCATGCCATTGTGCCATCATGTCATTGTGCCATCATGCCATTGTGCCATCATGCCATTGTGCCATTGTGTCATCATGCCATTGTGTCATCATGCCATTGTGCCATCATGCCATTGTGCCATCATGCCATTGTGCCATCATGTCATTGTGCCATCATGCCATTGTGCCATCATGCCATTGTGCCATCATGCCATTGTGCCATCATGCCATTGTGCCATCATGCCATTGTGCCATCATGCCATTGTGCCATCATGCCATTGTGCCATCATGCCATTGTGCCATCATGCCATCGTGTCATCATGCCATTGTGCCATCATGCCATTGTGCCATCATGCCATTGTGCCATCATGCCATTGTGCCATCATGCCATTGTGTCATCATGCCATTGTGCCATCATGCCATCGTGCCATCATGCCATCGTGTCATCATGCCATCGTGTCATCATGCCATCGTGTCATCATGCCATCGTGTCATCATGCCATTGTGTCATCATGCCATTGTGCCATCATGCCATTGTGCCATCATGCCATCATGTCATCATGCCATTGTGTCATCATGCCATTGTGCCATCATGCCATTGTGCCATCATGCCATCGTGTCATCATGCCATCGTGTCATCATGCCATCGTGTCATCATGCCATTGTGTCATCATGCCATTGTGCCATCATGCCATTGTGCCATCATGCCATCGTGTCATCATGCCATCGTGTCATCATGCCATTGTGTCATCATGCCATTGTGCCATCATGCCATTGTGCCAACATGCCATCGTGTCATCATGCCATCGTGTCATCATGCCATTGTGTCATCATGCCATTGTGTCATCATGCCATTGTGTCATCATGCCATTGTGCCATCATGCCATCGTGTCATCATGCCATCGTGTCATCATGCCATTGTGTCATCATGCCATTGTGTCATCATGCCATTGTGTCATCATGCCATTGTGTCATCATGCCACCACGCAAAGAGGCAACATCGGTCAGGCTTGTTGAAATGCAAGGCCTCACCATGACACTGGGAAAGAGGTGGTTTAGACTCGACTCAAGAGCGTGCCTGTGAAGGAACCTGGAAGGAGGTGGTGACGTCACCTGGAAGGAGGTGGTGAAGTCAGCATTGGGCCAGGCGTGCGGGTCCTCGTCACTGGGATGGCCCACGAACGTGGCTCGCCCCATGTCCACAAACACCACCTGCCAGCGAGCGTGCACACAGGGCAAGGGGCAAGGGGCAAGGGGATGCCTTTGCGGAGGCACCCAGAAGCAGGGCAAGCATGAGTCTTTCATCACTGGACAGCATGGGTGCTCAAACGGGTCGCAGCGGTGCAATTGCTACTCGCAGATGGGACTCCATGCACATGGGACTCCATGCACATGAGACTCCTGCACATGAGACTCCATGCACATGGGACTCCATGCACATGAGACTCCATGCACATGGGACTCCATGCACATGGGACACCATGCACATGGGACTCCATGCACATGGGACTCCATGCACATGGGACATCATGCACATGGGACACCATGCACATGGGACTCCATGCACAGGCAGCTACATTTCCATGCCCATGCCGCCATGCGCCGCCCTCACACCCACACGCCCCACCCCCACCCCCACACCCACGCCCACCTTCATGGGGTGGTTGAAGTCGCCGATCTTCATGGGCCGCTGCAGCCCGCTGTTGATGGTGCAGCTCACGCGCACCACGTCCTGCACCGCCATGTCGCCCGCCACGCACGCCACGGGCACCGTCAGTGGCACGCGCACCTCGCTGTATCCGTGCCGCCCCACCATGGCCTCCACGTATGTGGCATGCACGCGCACACTGCTGCCCTCCGGTACCTGGAGAGGGGGGGAGGGGTGGACGCCAGGCAGGGCGAATGCCCCAAGGTGCCTTCAGGGTTTGGTCGGAGACCGCCCTGCCATGCGCTCCATGTACGTCTCATGCACGTGCACACTGCTGCCTTGAGGTACGTGGCCAGGGAGGGGCGGGCGAATGACATGACATTAAGTGGACTTCACAATCGACCCGCCAACCAGCACGGTTTCCACATGGCACACACCGCTGCCCTCCGGTGCCGGGTGAGGGAGAGGGGGATGGCGGAGAGGCGGCGAGAGGCGGGGAGGGCGGCCAAAACGACCTATGCTTTGGCTTGGTGGCTCCCCGCCATGGCCTGCTGCCTGCATGCGTGTGGCATGCAGCAGGCACACACGCGCACACCGCTGACCTCTGGGGCTTGGTGAGGGTGGGGAAGACGGAGGAGAGGCGGGGCTGCGGGGCAGAAGGCTAAAGGGAGGCGTGAAGAAGGGATAATGGGGAAGGTACGAGAGCAACGGAGGGACGGTGGGAGAGAGACGTGTAGCGGCAGTGGTGTAGATGGCAAGGAACAGAGGGGATGTGCGGTGTGTGCACCTTGGGTATTCTCACTCGCAGCATGTGTGGCATGTGTGTGTGGTATGTGTGTGTGGCATGTGTGTGTGGCATGTGTGTGTGGCATGTATGTGTGGCATGTGTGTGTGGCATATGTGTATGGCATGCGTGGTGTGTGCACCTTGGGTATTGTGAGTCTGAGCATGTGCGGCGTGTGCACGTCGCTGTCATCCAGCAACACTGCTGCATGGCGCCTGGGAACACACCGCATCCCTCCACTCCCCTCCACCTCCACCTCCTCCTCCTCCTCCTCCCCTCCCCATCTTCTCCTATCACTCTCAACACCCTCACCACCCCCACCTTCACCCGCACCTACTCCTCCCTCCATGCTCGCACTCACACTACCATTCTTCCCACTGCCCTCAACCCACTCGCCCTCCCTACTCGCCCCAACCCCCCCATCCCCATCCCCCACCCCTCCTTGGCTCCTCCACCGATGCCTGCTGCTGCCACTCCTGCTAAAGCCAGCAGAAGACAGCCGTAGGAAGGAGGAGCGAGCCGGCTTGGGCGGCGGGGGCTGGGCGGCTGAGTGGGCGGCAGCTGCCCGCTCTTGGCTCGCCCGGCACGCTGCCTCTGCCTCGTGTGCTGGGACCACTGCAGTTGCAAGGAACCTTCCATCGGCTAAGGTCACCTCCACTGCTGTCACATAGCCCTGGGAAAGGGGGGTGGGACAGAGAATGGGCGAGGGGGGTGGGACAGAGAATGGGCGATGGGGGTGGACGAAGGGGAGATTGGAGTTTGGGTTCGGGTGATGAATGCAATGAGCTAGAACTGGTGTCGGGGGGCGGAGGGGAGGGGGGGAGGGGGGGAGAGGGGGAGGGGGTAAGTGGGAAAAAGGAAGGAAATGCATGCGTAGGAGAAGCAGAGTACACTTTAAGCAGTGGTGGTGTGGGCATGATGGGTAAAGCTGTCTGAGCGGCCCCTACCCTGTGAGTCATGGGCAGCACAAAGAGGCAGTCGCAGCACCGCTGCTGCTCCTCCCCTTCGCCTCCCCCTTCGCCTCCCCGTTCCCGCTCCCCCCCCTCGCCGCGCCCCCTCGCATACTCCCCCAATTCCCACGTGCCCTGCACACTAACAGTTGCTGTCGTCATCAAGCACTCCACAGTGAGCGACAGTGACGTCAGCATGACAGGCACTAGCCGGGGCACCGCAACTCCCCCCGCGAATGCCGCTACTCCCCCCTCATTCCCGCCTACCGCCCCCGCCCCTACGTCCCAAGACTTCGCCCGCGCGTGCGCTCCCCTTCCCCCCTTCGCCGCCCCGCCAAGCCCAGCTGCGCCGTGCGGGTTGCGCGCGTTGCTGGTGGGGGAGGAGGCGCGCGGATGCGCGGAGGGGAGCGGGGGAAGCGGGTCGGAGGCGGCGGGAAGCACGGCGTAGAGCATGGGGCACGGGGGCACCGCGGAGAACCGCGGATCGTCGCGGGCAGTGGCGCGGGAGGAGTCGGGGCGGGGAAGCTCGGAGGCGGAGGCGGAAGAGGGGAAGGCGGCGGCGGAGGCGGAAGAGGTGGAGGCGGAGGAGGGGAAGGCGGAGGAGCGCGACGCCCGCCCCGCCATGCTGTGACGAACGATCCCAGACGGATTGGACGACTATTGGACAAACGGAAGACGGCAAGACACGGCCGGTTGTTGCGATGATCCCGGACGGCCGGCTGACATAGTAGGTTCGGGCGGCAGGGTGCGTGTGCGTGTGCGTGTCTGTGGGTGCTGATTCCCTAGGAGCCGGCGCGAGCGGTGTGCGAGAAGCAGGGAGAGGAGGAGAGGAGTCACAACGAAGGGACGGAGTGCAGAGGGCGGACGGTAACGTGGCTTTCGCTATCGACTCAGCCGTGCAGGACCGTTACGACGCGAGACCAGAAGACAAGGCGACCTTGCGCAACCGAACCACTTGCCAGGAGGAGCCATGATTTTCCAATTGCCGGTTTCTCACCCCTTGAGTCCACACTTCAAGGTTGTGACGACACGATCAAATGTGATGTTACAAGCCCGATTTTGCAAAACTTCTCTACCTTACCACATATTCTAGTATTAGCATACACTCAAGAATGTGGACCCAATACGCATTCCTGTATAGATGTCTAAAAAAAGAAAGAAACAAAACACATCGGACTACGTTGATGAAACGCTTTTTAAACTCACTGGTGGACAACCACCATCGTCCCACAACAGTTTCGATTGCCCTTCCCCATACCATCCAACCCAAACCCATGGAGAATGAAGAGAGAAATCGAGATTAGTAGAAAATGGCACATGAAGCTGGCCCAAAGAACCCAACTGGGCACCATGTGAGATCACACTTTGGTTGTCGCGGTGTAACTTGAAGGTCTGCGACGTAGTGAGTTTCGCTTCATCAAGAAGTTCATACAGGTAGAGGCCTTTGGGAACTGTTGTAGTGGCGGCGATGAACACTGCTTCAATCGATGATAGAGCGACCAGATCCTGCTTCCAAAAATTCCATGTGATAGGACCTGGTTCGAGGTGGAAGAGGAATCCAATCCGAGAGCGGCGATTAGCGGGATCGGCAGCGCGATCGGCACGACAGAGGTTACTAACTACTGAGTTAAAACGGCTTGTTAAGTAGCGGGTAAGTGCACCCATAGCCCCCCAGGCTCTACACTTGTGGCCCTTCTCCGAGGATCTTCTCAAGGGCAACCCCAGCGGGTCTCTCGACACCCCCCCATCGCTGGGATAGGTGGAGGATACGAGCGCCTCTGCAGTGCTGGCATTGGGAATTGAAACCGAGTCACCCACGCTCTGATACCATGTCAGAACTCAATCACTAACCGCTGAGTTAAAAGGGCTTGTTAAGTAGCGGAAAAGTGCGCCCATAACCCCCTAGGCTCTGCACCTGTGGCCCTTCCTCGAGGATCTTCTCAAGGGCAACCCAAGCGGGACTCTCGACACATGGTGCATAGAATAGGGCTATAGTCTATTGGCAGGTGTGATTGCGGCATCATAGCCTACAGCTTGGTCATTTGGTGCAGTTGGTTAACTAAGCGACCCCTTGCTGAAGGTGAGCATACGGCAGAGATAGGTGATGTTCGATGCTAAGCTTCTCGAGGTAATTTTGCAATTGCTTGCTGCAGAATTCTCGGGTTCCATCGGTCTGCCACTATTTCAGATTCAGTCATAACTAGCGTTTCGCATGGTTAAGCCATAGTTAGAAGACCTCATAGACTCAACCTTGGCCCGGCACGTGCTGAGCTCCAGCAAAGGGAAGGGTTGATGTGTAAGAGCAGTTTCAAAGTAGACGCTATAGTGGTGTGGCTCATTGCTTGGCCTAAGGTCTATACCATAAGATTTGAGGAGGACGCCAGTAGTAAAGACGTTGGCCCTCAGTGCGTCATTGAGGGTATTGCGTGAAGGATGATCGTGCTGTTGGTGCCAGATATGGCCAGGTGCACAGTGGCCAAAAGAGCGGTGGTAACAAGCAGTGGAATTTGCAGCGGCTGGTGTGCATTGGCCTTCAAGGGAAGGGGAGGATGCCATGGCGAGAGCAAGAAACTCTCGGTCGTAGATGTCTGTAGGAACTGGCTTCTTTCTTGGAGGGACTTCTGGGCCTGGAGAGGACTCGGTCTTCCTCAGGTGGAGTTGTAGGTTGAGGGAGATGACATCGAGGGGGTATCATGAATAGTGGTTGTTTCATCAGTGTTCGTTTCTTTCGGACCGATAGGGGTTGTTTCCAGTATTGAGGGATTGCGAAGAGCATGAGCTAGTTGGTAGCAGCACCAGTCGATCCAACTGTGTTCGTATAGGACATGTTTATACTCGGCCCACAAGCCTGGATGCATGGGGGGACGACCAAGAGGAATTGCTTAGCTTCCCCCTGGTCCTCTTCGTCGTCTCCGCCTCTGTGTCAGAGGTGAGGATTGAGCATGAACTGGCCAGTTATGGTATTCCGCATACACTCGGGTGGTCAAGGAGGTTGCCCCCAGCCACCTAGTTGCTAAGTGGCTTCTGCTGATTCCTCGATGCTTACGCTGCCCCATGTTCCTGCTGGCTTTGGTTCACCCCAGCCTCTGTGAAAGGCTTGGCGTAATTTTGCTGCCCTTTCTGTTGCAGCTTCTGCTTCTTCTATTGCTGCTGATGTTTCTTCAGTTGTTGTTGTTTCGCCATCTGCTGCTGCTGCTCCTTCTACTTCTGTTGCTGCTGCTGCTCATTCTACTTCTGTTGCTCCTTCTGCTTCTACTGCTCTTTCTCTTGCTCCTTCTATTCCTTCTACTACTGCTGCTTTCTTGTGCTGGTTCACGCTGAAGTAGTGGCGACTGCATTGATTGCAGCGAGGCTCCTTCTGACCTGAGTAGAAGGCAAGCCTATCTTTGCACGGGGCCTTCTTTTTATGGAAACCCATGTCCTACTCCTCTACATTGGGGTTGGGTGCAACACAATACCATCACGCAATATAAAGCGGTGTATAAGGGGTGAATTTTTGTTATGACTTAGCCTATGATTCAACTAGGCAAAGAAGGGGTTGCTCCATGGCATTGGTAAATTGACACCACGAATCCATATTCACGGTTTCCGTGTTTTAGACCCGACTCATTATATTGTCCTTTCATTTTATGGTTCCATCCATTCCATATCTTAACATCTTAAGAGCGTGTTCCAACGAGCGTCTTATCAGACTGGCGCATTACAGTGCAGTGCGAGCTTGACACAAAGTGGCTCAGTGCGGTGTAGAATTGATAAACGCTTGAAATTCTATGTCGAGAATAAGAGAATTGAGTGACGCGAGAAAAAACAGAACATTGTCCAGCTATTGGGGTTGTCCCCACTACAGTCTATACCTAGCTAGCCTGTAGTATATATATATATATATATATATATATACATATACAAATACATACCCCCTAGATTGGGTAGGGGCACAATCTAGCAAGACACATCAATCTAGGGTAGCACTACTAGTCTGGCCACTGAAATCAGGGATAGAAGGCCAGTTAGCAAGAGTAACAGGACAACCAATACAATTTAGCAAAAACATATCACGATATAAGCAAGTGTGAGGTAACTGGGACTAGGCCGAGCTGAGTACAAAACCGCTAATGATCATGAGGCCCAAGGGCCTTGGTGAAGATATCAGCAGTATTGGCCTCTGAGGCCAGCTGTACTATGCGGGCCTGGCCGCGTTGCTGCAACTCATGCAACAGGAAGTACCGCAATTGGATGTGCTTGGCTTTGCCCTCAAGTTGAGCCTCATGACATAGGAGGATCATTCTCCTATTATTAGAAAACATGACTGGGGCAGATCTGGGCCTCTCACCTATGGTAGGTCAGTGAGCAGGAACATTAGCAGCGGAGCTCCTGAGCAGCCATAGCACCGGCATACTGTAAATCTCTGCCTCACAACTGGACTGTACTATAGACAATGACCGAGTGGACCGCCACGGGACAATACATGCACCAAGGCTGAGACAGTAGCCCTGTGACAAGATGAGTGTCTCCAGGTCGTTTGCCCATGACGCATATGTATGTCCAGTGAAGACCACTGGCGCCCGACCTCCCAGCACAAGCCCTAGGCTTGAGGTACTCCCCAGATACCGTAATACCCTCTTAGCAGCTGATCAGTGCTCTGGTCTGGTGTCTACCATTCGCGACAAAGCGAGCGAGAATGTTGAGAGGGTATGCAAGTTCTGGGCGAGTGCACGTTACATGTAAATGAGGCATCCCACCAGCTCTGTATAGGGACCATTGGGCTCGACCAGCTCACCGGAGACAGGAGCTGAGAGCTTGCAGTCAAGAGGCAGGGGAGTGAGCAGTGCCGAGAAGAACAGAAGGCCAAATCTTTAGAGGATCTGCTGCACCATGTAGGAATGGAGAGGGTGACTGTGCGCATTGCACGGTCATGAGAGATCTCCAAATCCAGATAGCGCCGCAACTCTCCCAGATCAGTGAAGGAGTGTCTCCAGAGTAACTCGGCCTTCACTAAGGTCAGTGCGACCCTGTCTAGCATAGCAAAGATATGGTCATCTACGTACAAAAAGATGTAGAAGGGAGTCTGGCGAACACGAATGAAGAGTGAGGGGTCATTTGAGGACGGGAAGAACTGGAGAGCCGCTAGTGTAGTGCGGAGTTTATCGTGCTACTCACAGAGCGCCTGGCGTAGACCATAGACATGACGCCGTAGGTTTCACTGGGTCCAAGATGGAAATGACCCAATCAAGCCTGGTAGGCGCAACAAGTATATCTGCTCGTGTAGGCAGCCCTACACAAAGGCTATCGATAAGTCCAATGAGTGGAACTCGCAGTCACGCAGTGTGGCCATGTAGAGGAGTACTTGAAGAGTAGTCATATTTGGGTTGGAGGAGAATGTCTGGAAGAAGTCCACACCCTCACACTGGCTGAAGTCTCTGGTCACATACTGCAACTTGAACTATTGCGCCTCTCCAGATGGGCGCTTCACCTTGTAGATCCACATGCCATCGACTAAGTTCGCATTAGGGGGAGGAACTACGTCGATGTAAGTGTCAGTGGCTCTATAAGGTTCCATCTCTGCCTCTATCACCTATATCCATTGCGCTCCCCATGTCCCGGAAACTGCCTCAAGGTACGAGTGCGGGGTAGGGATGTCCAGGGCGTCCAAGTCACCCTCAGGGAACACTAGCATGATGCATAGACGGGGTCCAACAGCCACAAGGAGAGCTCACAATGTTTATCCTCTAGGACGTTACTGCCAAGGGCAGATGCACCCCCGACGGACGAAGGATGAGCAGGGTCAAAGACCAGATTGGGGGCGTAGTCAAGGCAGTGGCATGCAAAAAATTCAGCCACAGCAATGACTAGGGCAGAGACGCCAGCAAGAGGAGCCATAGGGTCCGTAACAAGAGAGGCAACTAAGCGAGAGACCACTGGGCGAGCACTGCGAGTAGAGTCAAAGGGAGGAGCGGAGGAAAGGTGTAGGGACGACGGAGG